TATTATATGGGATGTGGAAGTATAAAAATAATAAAAATAAAGCCAAACATCAACCTTTTTTGGTATCTTTTATCACTGACTACACAAAATCAATTCAACACTCTTTCTACACAATTCAACCAAATTTTTATAGAATATCTCACATTATACTTGTGTCCACTAAAGTATTATAAATAAAACTTACTGCAGACACTATACAAGCCTTCAGAAGTTCATTGGTGATCACCATTCTATGCTTTTTACCTCTACTATTTAGTATGTTATTTGCTTAAACAGTACTGACGAGCCTGCAAATGCTGCTCAAGTGACAAAAAGACTGCACAATATCTAGAAGCAGCTTATTATATCGCAGACACCATGCCACGACTTGGGGGTAAGTGGTGTCAAGGCTGGAATTATGTAAAAACATCCCTTTCTTATTTAGCACTATAGAAGTAAGAGTAAACACTGCTATGTATCACTAGTGCTGTACTATGAATAGCTGAACAAAAATTATACTATTAGCAGATAGAACTAGAATCAATCATCTGAGGCCAAATGGATGGCAATAGTGAAGCTTATAATCTCCTCTTCTGTAGTGCTAGAAAAGAAAGGAATGTTTTTGCCTAATTCTAGCCTTGATATCACTTACCCCCAAGTCACAACATGGTGTCTGCGATATAATAAGCTGCTTCTAGATATTATACAGTCTTTTTGTCACTTGAGCAGCATTTGTAGGCTCGTCAGTACTGTTTAAGCAAATAACATACTAAATAGTAGAGGTAAAAAGCATAGAATGGTGATCACCAATGAACTTCTGAAGGCTTGTATAGTGTCTACAGTAAGTTTTATTTATAATACTTTAGTGGACACAAGTATAATGTGAGATATTCTATAAAAATTTGGTTGAATTGTGTAGAAAGAGTGTTGAATTGATTTTGTGTAGTCAGTGATAAAAGATGCCAAAAAAGGTTGATGTTTGGCTTTATTTTTATTATTTTTATACTTTCACATCCCATATAATATCCTAAGACATGTGTCATTGATCACATCATGTGTAGGTGGTCTAATTCCATGATTTTGATATAAAGTCAAATAAGTGTCTCAATGAGTCACTGAACTAGAATAGCCATATCTCCGCTCCATGACATCACTTTCCCACGCTGCATATCTCAGATTCAAGCCTGGATACGAGGGATTCAGACATGTCCCTATAGCCCTATTATATTCCTACACTCTGGCTCACAATGATGCAATTATATGAAAATGTGCAAACATTGAGACACTTTTGTGAGCCACTGTATATGCAACATAATCACACAATATAGCGCATATAAGCAAAGAAATAGTGCATACAACAGTGAAGAAAGCACATATACTCACCACAGAGATGATCTTTGACAGCTTATTGCTGGAGATTGTGTTGAGCTCATCACGGAGGCTTGGTACAATGTCGAGGATGCCTTTGTACAAGGTGAAGTCGAAAGCACGGACATCCATATGTTAGACAAGCACTCGCGACAATAACATGACGTGCCATTCACCTCAGTCATCTTGAGATAGACAATGTTGGCAAAGTGACCATGATCACCAAGGAAGTCCCTGAAGTAAACAGGATACATGCCTTGCTAGGATTGACAATATTGTTCTTGATGTGCTGGTAGCTGGACTTGGTCTGTTTCTAGCCAAGGGTCATAGTAGAGGATGGCAGGGGGAAGATGATGGGGAAGAAGAAAGAGGGCAGCAACAGATTGGGCTACTTAACTTTGTGCGCATTGTGCAAGGTGTTGCCCAAACAAAGGAGCTTCTGAATTCAACAACTACAAACAATGCAATGTCTCATGTGCATGCTGCAACATCGCCCCCTGCTTGACATTATACTTAAAGTTAAACTTGAGACACTTACTTTACCCTTGTATTAGATAGGGGAAGGAGGTGATAATTAAATAAAGCCTCGGGAAGCTCGACACATGTTGGAATTCAAAAAATTTGCACTCAGGTCATACTATGGTGAAGAGAAATGCAGACTACATAGTACTTAGAGTGGTGAAGGGGCGCTAGCAGTGCTCTGCTCACAAATCTTACGCAGTTCAGAGTGGACCCTCAGCATACTCATGACACACAAGTTTAGTGTCATAATCAAATATACCAAACTTAAATGCCCGTGCTCAGGATCAAATTATGTCGAGGAACACAATTGTGGATTCAAACTTGATTCCAATTATCTTTTCATTGTGATGGTCAGTGTCTTTGGTCCTGGTGAAAAGAGTAACACCTACGCCAATGAACGACACGTTGCTCACATCGCCAGTGTGCTACCAATATTAATGCAGGTGTGACCTTTGTATTGCCACGTAGTGAATGAAAATCATGGGACCACAGAATTCTAGCTCGGCACTTGCTCCATCCCTGCCGACTGTCTTGCCACCTTTGAGGTCAACAATACACATCTTGCAACTGCATAGAAGGCGGCCCAAGTTGAGGATTGCTGATGGGTGGCCAGATCAAAGGATAACAGAGGTACTACAACAGACGGTCATTGGACACTGAGACTTGAGAGTGGACTGGGATAATCAAACATACTAGTACCTTGTAGTTAGGGTTGCCGATGGGACTATGGTGCGTCCTTGCAAGGGGTATGGAAGGCTCATAGGTGCCATGTGAGGGAGTTGTGACTCAGTATGAGCCTCGTGAGGTAAGTGGGGAGGTGTGGGAGTCCTCCCAGGCACTTCCGTGCCTTTCTGGATTGGGGCAGTTTTGCTGATGGTGCCCCGGCTCTTTGTGTTCTACATCTGTAAAACACCCAAGTTCTCGCTTAGTAGTGGAAGAAGTTTGATCTGTTACTAATACTTACGGTTCAGTGATGTGGCTTGCCAATTGGTGGAGATCATATTGATGATAGATTTTCGGACAAAATAAAGATCACAGAACAATCAGACTAATTATTGCTTTATCATGCACGATCTCATCATTATCATGATTGGGCATCTACTATAGTACTACTACAACCCCAGCCTTGCCTCTCCACGCTCCTTCATCCTTGCTTCCAATGCCTTGATTCATCACTGAACCATAAGCATTAGTAACAGATCAAACTTCTTCCACTACTAAGTGAGAACTTGGGTGTTTTACAGATGTATCTTCATCTTGCCGGATGGTGAATTGGTCCTTCGAATCATTACATATCTCAGCTAGTCTATCCTTTCCAAAAAAAACTCAAGTCCGTAACAAGTCCATAATCAATCCCTGGACTATCCCAAACTGAGCGCTCAATGAGTGGCTAAAGTTGTAGATGTAAGCCGGGTTACTGTTACCTTGTAAATGTGGACTTCAAATAGAGACGCTCAAAGTTGGGCGCACACGTCGCACACTGCACACCGCACACGCACACGACCCCCTCGCACATGCACCCCTACCCAAAACGGTAACCTTAGATAATTGTCGGACTTTAGACTAAATCTTGCGGTGTGCAGCGCCGCACAATACTCTACAGTACTTGTCATGAATTGTCTATAGCTAAAGCAGTGTTCCTAAACCTTGCCCAAACCAGTTCCAAACCTCGTCATCCCTAAACCTTATGGGCCATTGTAACCCTTGCCATGTTTGGCCTAGACTTTGTCCCCAAACCGGCAACTTAGATAACATTTCGGGTCTTTCCAAGTCGAGCTCATCAGCCAACCACTAGGTCCAACATCCACAACCCTGCCTCAACCTCAGTACTTGACCAGTCCTTTTAAAACCTTCTAAACCCTTTCCACACAGTGTATTGTTCAGTATATACAATGTTGTGCTTTTTCATATATCATATATCACGTGATCACTTGAAATACGACTTTGAATTGATTACATAAAATAATCAAGTACTTGTGTACAAAAAATGTTCAGTATACGTGATCGTAATCAAATCGTTGCGCAATTTGTGTGATCAATTGATTAGTGTACGATTGAGTATGCAAAATGTCAGAACATGAGCAGATTGAACACATTTACTCAGCGCAGTGATCTAGCGTTGTTGACGTAAGTTTACATTTATCGATTTGCGTAGTTATCACAATATTCTTAGCATAAAACTAATATTTCCGTCATTTGCCATAGATATGGCTAGGACCGTTTTTCACTGGGGTTTAGGGATGACGAGGTTTGGAACTGGTTCGGGCAAGGTTTAGGAACGCTGCTTTAGCTATAGACAATTCACGACAAGTACTGTAGAGTATTGTTCGGCGCTGCGCGCCGCAAGATTTAGTCTAAAGTCCGACGATTATCTAAAGTTACCGTTTTGGGTAGGGGTGCATGTGCGAGGGGGTCGTGTGCGTGTGCGGTGTGCGGTGTGCGACGTGTGCGCCCAACTTTGAGCGTCCCTATTAAATGCATCCCCGAACAGGACGAAAACCAGTCATCCGATAGACAGACACTGCTCGCACTTCGCAACCCCACCCCAGCGATTCTCCTACGCACCAAGGCAGCGGAACAGTAACTTAGAGCAAATAATTATTTCAGATTATCCGCGTTATCCTCCTTCGCGCAAGGTGGTCGGCACTATCACATCCAAACACTTCACGAAACTCGCAGCGTCAACTTCTCAGAGCTGCATTCCCTTCTAATCGTGCACCAGACACGCACCGTCGAACAAGCGGATAACACGCTCACCGACGCTAATATGCGAGCGCGAGGAGGAAAAAAATCAGTTCATCGCTTCCAAACTGCACGCCTGGACTATGCTAGACGACGAGAAATACACATGAGCTACTTAAATTGTAACACGCGCGTACAATCTACCTATCAGCCGCCCGAAATGTATTGAACCGAAAGTTTTACTAGGGGGAAAAACGGATCAGAGCACATACCGCAAGGCTACAGATTCCTAGTCTCCCCTAGGTAGTCATCCCTTCTATAGGTAATGCTTAGTGAAATTGTATCGAGGTGCAAAGGGACTTGAGGGTGTCTGGAAACTGTTGGAAGGTCGAAGCGCAGGACAGCGATCGTGATGCTCCCAGAGAGTGAGGACAATCAGATCAACGCGTCCCGCCACGATGTGCGCTATCTGAATCTGTTCGTTAAACGGAGTGAAGCTGTTCCTTCCGTACAACCTGCGAGAAAATCTCCAAAGCTGCTTCGGGCTGGAAGGCAGGCTAGCAACAACATATATGGCCTATCAGTGGATATTATCATCCTGAGGCGAGGCAACCGACCACTTCGTGTCCACTTTCATACACACGTCTAAAGGCAAAATAATGAGATACGCCTTGAAAGTGGAAAGAGAAAACTCACGCGAAAGAGAAGTTGCCAACGTTCTGCACAGCCGCCACGGGCTTGCCATTAATCGTCATATTGGTGAATGGGGTATTATGGAGCGTCTCATTGCCATACCAATCCATTGCTAGGACTGACGCATAGACCTGTTAACCAGCATAAATAATTCAATAATGCGTGCGGCGAGATACGTGACACCCTACCCCAAGCCAGTTGCAGCTGAAGTTGATGAGAAGTGTCAAGATAACATCAGATGCCATAACAGCAGGAAATCGAACTTAATATCAGCATCTCCAGCCTGTTCTTCCCCAGTAAATTAGCAGACAAGGAAGTAGACGTTGAGGCACGCACCCAAATCAAGATCTTCATCCCAGAGTTCGCCAATGTCGATAGCTGGGGTAGCCATGTCCTAGCGTCCTTTGACAGGAATTCACGTTTAACACTCGAGGAAAGAAATTAGACAAAAACCTACGTCGCCTGTAGATGCAAAGCGATAATAGGGTGGGTCTGAGCATTCCTCGTATTCGGAATAAGCACCGATCTTCTTCATGACATCTTTCTTGTGCAAATAATCCACGTAGTATGAAGGGGGGAATAAAGCAGATGTGTTTTGCCGCAAATCATAGCTGTCGTAATTAACCATAGCAGGGGCGTAGATATGGTCAATCTGAAAGTGCTAGGTGACACCCGTAGAGATAGCACTGATATGTTGTTACTCACGCAGTAACGATCGGCATTCTCGCAAATCGCGTTTGAGCTGGTGGAATTTCCAGCAGCGTAACAGGCTTTCTCTTGCGCTATGCAACCATCGTGGCCGTAGAGGGCATCCGAAATGTTCTTGAGTACGCCATCCGGCTGGAGTTTTCCATAGCCAGGGGCATATGTCGTAAATGTTAGGTATGCGATGTTTTGAATGAGTGGATCGATCCAGCCACTGTGAATGTTCATTCGACATGGTGATTAAGCAAGTCACGAAAGCGACATACTTATTAATCATCAGAGCGCCAACAGCTATTGGAACGGCATGGATCGCCCCGCTAGCGATCAAGACATTTTTCTCTTGAAAGTAGGCCACAAAACTCGGTGCATAGTGACCACCATAGCTTTCTGTAGTAAATATGAATCTGAGTCAGACATGAGCAATCGTTCACGATCGCCGAGTAAAGCGACTGACTCTCGGCTGGCATACTTTGAAAATAGCTGGCTCTCAAACAAAACCTGGAATGCAGTCCATACAAACGGCGCAGCCTCTTCCGTACTATTGACCAGACCGGTACCATAAGAGAATCCGGCCCCGATTGGCTGGTCAATGTAGATCACTAGATGAGATGAGAAAGTCAGCATTTGCGACAAGATCGTAGAGCTACGTGCTACACACTGTTGCTGAGATTATTCCAGCTGCCGACATGGGTTAGCATGCCGCATGCGAAGACGTCGATCATCCTGACATACCTGTAGGGATTAAGAGTGATCGAATTACGATCGGCATTCACTGAGCATGGCCCGTTTTCTGTACAAAATGAGAAGCAGAATAAAAGCCAGTCAATCCAATACAACCTCGGAACAATCCGATCATAGAAGAACATCCAGGGCCGCCATTCAACCTGTGAAAGCATGTCAGAGGTGCGACTAGACTCAATAAAGTGATCCAGATCACCTACCATAAAGTGAATGGGGCTTTTTCAGGGGAGTTTCTAGACTCAAAGAACCAGAACCACTATTTTGCCATGGGCGAGCTTTGTAACATCAATAGTATAGTGCACAAAGACGTACTTACCATGGACATGTTCGTTCCGACGTCGATGTAACCAGAAATTTGCGTAACATGTGGAGTTGTTTCGCATATCCCTGAGTTCTTAACATAGCGAATGCCAGTTGCATTGTGAACCTCGGATTTAATCTCGATGTGCCCTGCTTCTGAAGTGTCGAGATCATGCTCCACAACAGAGACGGCACAAGTTATGGATGCGACAGCTAATAGCGTAAAGCCGGTTCGGATGAGCGTTCTGAGACACATGTCAACGCGTGTTGGTAGTGATAAAGCTTCGTGGCCAACACGGCCAGGTATTTATACAGTGCCACTCTGGCCAGATATCAGGCGATCAAAGGCAAGTTCGCGCATAGCGGCAGGAAAAATGAAACATTCTATTAGGATGCCGTACGCTAGCGTTTTAGCATAAGCACGCTGTCGCCGTTTTTTGATTGGTTCCGCAACTGGCAAGCGGTGTGTTAGAAATAAGAACTGCACGAACGAGCACTTAGCCTATCATTAAATGCCAAAGGGTAGGTCTTTTGCTAGTGAGTGATGCGGCGAGGAACGCGGGCTATGGATGTGTCTCGTGCGCTGATGTCACAGGATGTGACCGTGTCATCTGTGCATCAGAAGACACGCTGGAAATGGCCGGGAATCTTGCGACTACGGGTACCGTAATTGCGGAGGACTCAAACCGTCATTAGTAGATACGTACACCGTGCTCATCTAGGAATTTTAATTTTGCCGCCGTCCAGCCTGAGCTATACTCCGCCAGGAGATGCAGATGAGCCTACTTTGGCCCAGCCTGAGAATGGCCATCTTAGAGATGTCCTCGATACCCCAATCATTCGAATACACAAGCCTGGATTGCCATCGAGCATTTGTCAACGAATATTGACCCTAATGAGAACCAGACCGCGAGAATATCAGGATAATTTGTGCAACGGTTTTCGGAAGTACAGCCTGGCCAGATGAACGAGAATAAAAGATCAACAGTGACTCATGAATGACTTCTAAATTTGTACAAAGATGAAAGCAACAAGGTATGAAACTACACACCGATATGAATGAAAACAACTTTCTGTTTGAGCGGTACGATCCTCTTCACGGCACACATAGCATGGTTGAGTGCGGAGGCCGCCTTTGTACAGTCCATGACATGGTCACCCTCCTCCAAATCCTTGAACATATCGCTTCGATAACGCGTTTTGCAACATCATCGTCGACCACCCACAGCGTGCCAATGATGCTCTTGAACCCTGAAAACTGAAGACCGGCTGCGAGGTGAATGACCTCATCGGGCATCTTCTCATCGCCGACGGCGGTATGACACGCCGATAAGAACGCGAATTCTGCTTGCAGAGCGGCGTTCTCTATGATATCAAGCTGAGTGAGAGGTTTATCTTGCATGGCGAAATTAGAATTGTAAGGCTGCTCGCGGTCCTGCTTGCCGTGACAAGCGAGGTGCACCCAAGCATTGCGTGGCAAAGCTTCGAGTGCACCTGCTCATGTGGCTGCATCACCAGAAAGAGTGGTGGGGTTGGCCGTTGCGGTGATGGACTTGCGGACTAATTCGAGCTCACTGTCGATAGCCAAGAACGTCTCGCCTTGACCGGCACCCGGTTGACTTCGCCCGATCAACACGAAGGATGGGGTCACGTGGGTCTTCATCAGCTGTCGAGATCTGATCGACGCCGAAAGTGTTGACGTGCAAGAGTAGATGTAGAGGTCCTCCAGGCATAGCTCTGGCCCAGAGTGGTCTGCCTTCTTTCAAAAGGGGTGAGCTGCATGGAGAGGAATGGACGTAAAAGCTGCAGTCAGACACAGCCAGATTCGAGAGCGATGCGGCAACTTCAGATCATGCTGGAGTACTTTTACGATGGGTAGCATGATCTCATCCCATATCTTCCGCAACAGTGCAATCAGCGCTGTCCTCGGCTCCTTTGGTCCCATACCAGATGTGTGCCGTATTGCCTTTGCAAAGTTGTTCTTGAGCATCTCGAGATTTGCGAGAGCGTCAGAGCAGAGGGGAACATGATGGGACCGCCCTGATGTCAGGACAATGAGGGCGTTGCACGAGTATTTTCTGGCAATGAGGATGATGACTGGGCCATGGCTTGCTGTAGCTTGCAGGCCTTCGTACAATGGTTGGAGTAGGAATCGCGAGAAACCTTGAATATCGAATCTTAGCCACCACAGCTTTCCATTCCGTTTTAAGTCTCCTGTACTCTACTGCTGCCCTATCAGCAGCAGCTCGGTCTGCGCTACCTGCGGAGCCCTGAGCATCAGACAGGCGCTTGCTGTGCACCGAGAGTTTGTGAGCTAGTGACGGACTTACAGACTCGAGGTCTTCCAATGGTGCCCTGAGTCAAGAGGCCAGAAACCATTGTTGGCCGCGACCATGCTTCTCAAGTTCAATAATATCTTCATCAGATCCAACCGTTGGAATATCGTTGCATGCCTGGATCACATAACTGACAACATTATCCCCTGCCGCAATGCTATGAAGATAGGTGCCTAGCTCATGGTAGAGTGGGGCAGATTCACAGAAATCGGTGGCGGTATGTCGATGAATAACCAGCGCTGCAGTGAGATGATATAGAGGAGAAACGATCAGGGTGGCCCTGGGGCCGTAATGCAAGGGTGTCGCAAAATGAAGTGGTGATGAAGTCAATGTCTTGGAGATGCTTTCGACTATAGCCTACTAGCCGGGCCAACGCGAGGTCAGTGAGAGCGGCTGCATAGTCGGGATGGCCGACCGGACACCTGTCCAGAAACGACTGGAAATCCTGCACAGCATTGTTCAGGTGAGACACTTTCGCTTGCTACGTATTCAGAAAACCATGCGTGGCCGGCATTTGCGCGTCGAGTAATCTCGCATTCAAGGATGGACTACAGTTTGCGTTCTGTCAGCAGAAACCGAAAGCATACGGCATCACTCACGTCAAATAACGCACTGTCATCGTGTCCGCAAGCGTGCACAACAGTGGCCTTGAGCGTGACAACAGGGTGGACATCACGGATGAGTAGGAAGGACAGATCTACAACAAGTTAGTAGATGCGCATGGATGAGAAGCAGATCACTTACCGAAAGGCTCATCCCCATAATCAAGCAGGATGTTTCAAGTTTCCCAGCGACTTCCCCGGGCCTAGAATTCGACCGAGTTCATTAATGATGCACGGATCTCCAGTGATAATCTAGGTGACACATCTGTTGACCTACAAGCTGATGATGAGTACTGGAATTGCGTACACACGTCAAGGCTTTACAAGATCACGATATCGCCCCAAATTATAGAGTCATCGGATGATAGCACTCGGACAGCTGATTTCCGGCGTCTCCCCGAGTCGACATTGTTTGATATGTAAATGACTGTAGGTATGCGCTCGGAGGGGATTGTCATATCCCTTCCGCTAATGACTGTGAATAGAGCGTGAAAACCATGAAATGAATTCCAAGGTCATGTAGAGTGGCCCACCTTCAAGTCTGATATATTGGCCTTCCAAGCTACCGGGCATGATGAAGCCAACAATAAGCGACACGGAGGATCGAGGATGGGCTGAGTGGTGGGACAAGAAGTGTGGCATATGGTGACTGTGGATGAAGTTCAGGCGAGAGGTGGAGGAGAAATGAGTAAGGATGCAGTGCATGACGATGGCTCGGCCGGCACGATAGACACTGGTCTGATTTCCTCGAGCGGAAGTGGGCAATGCGGTGGTCAGTCGTCAGCGATAATTGCGCATGACGGTGTAAGCTGCTGGAGCGGTCATGTGAGTCTCAGAGCGCTCTCTAGTGCTAGCCTAGTCTTACCACTGTTATGTTAGCTTTCATCACTCATACTAGTCATTAAGCATACTATACGGCAAAATGTGGAATCCGGTGTATTTTGTAGTCCAAATAAGACAAACCACTGACAACAACGTCAAGTCACTATCCATTCTATACGAGTCCAATTGAGCTGATGCTACATGGGGAGGATGATCAAGAGTGTCGTGGAAACAAAGGCGACGGTTCGCACCGGGAGGGCACAAAAGGAAGCGGGCGGGCAGGAAAGACGATGGGCAGGAAGGATGGTGGGCATGCCACGATCATAATGCAAGAGTTGGGGCAGAGCGCCGCATTACAATGCGGCGGCGGCGGGACATGGTCGTTGCAAACATCGAGCGGGTTTTAAACCCCGAACACCCGACGATGCACTCTGGAGTCTGTGCTACTCTGTGATGGACTCGCTCATCAAGCACTCTCTGTAAGGCTACCCATTAATAGGTTTGACGTGATGTTGGTATCTCCCTTATGGTTTCAAAGCTTGACCTACTGTGATAGCACAAGTCACTCCGAGTTCTAGTACGTTCGATTCCGATTTCAAATGCGACCATGTATCAGCTAAGAAAACCAGTTCACAAATGAAAAGCCGCACCCCGATTCCTGACGACCTTCCACGTCATGATCATGTATTCCGTTCGGGCCAGCACCAAGTCTCGTACAAATAATGAAGTCACCGCGGCTCGTTCCTGCCTTGAAAGGGGATCGCGGTAGAATTACATGGAAGCAGGACTCCCCGAATGCAGCACCACGCGTTACAGAGATCCACATTCACCACGACCCTATGCCTTGTTCCTGAGGGAGGCTCCTGCCCGACCACTCACAAGAACTGTAACTCGAATACCGACGATCATGAGCTTAAGCAAGCTTGCTTGCATTGGAATGCACGCCTCTGAGCACATCTATGATTTGCTAGGTTCTGAGTTCATCAGATCTCCCGTCAGGTGAGCACGTCATTTACTACATATAGACACCCTGCCCTGTCCGTTATACGATACTCCTGTCACCTGCGCTCAGTCAATTCTTTCTCGTCACTTCCTCACCATACGTTCTCGCTCCGCACTGATATTTCCTTGTCGTATTCTTTTCACACAAATAGCAGGTTCATATAATAGGGAATGACAGATGCATTATTACCCGGGGTTCATCAATGTCTCAAAAACCGTCGACTTTATGAGCTGAGGATTTTTTTTCCGTTGGTGAACGAGTCGGAGAATGGTTTGTGGATCGAATCAAGTGACAGATTGACATGAGACTCGGACTTAGCAGATCTGCCTAATGCCATGACTCATTTTTTTTGTTCCAAGCTGGTCATTGCCTCCGACACTCTAGGGCGATTTCAAACTCATGCATCTGATGGACAGACGCTACGCCAATGAGAGTAGATAAACACGTGAAGAGAACAACGCGCGGCAGAATTCTTACCAACATCCCCTCGTACTCGCAACCGCACCCCAGCGACTCTGAATCTCCTCCATATCAAGCTTAAGGCAGCGGAACTATTTAGCGCAAATATCAAAAAGAAAGCATCTCAGATTTTGCCGAACTCTCCGCGCTATCCTCATTTGCAAGGTAGGCAGCACTATCTCATCCAACTGCTTCGCGAACCTCGCAGTAACCAATAACAACTTCCTAGAGCTCTCTGCCCTGGACCTTCTAGTTGCGCACCAGATACGTACCATCAAACAAGTACTTATATCGGATAACACGTTCACAGAGGCCAATACGCCAGAAATGCGGGGAGGGGGAAGAATTATCAAAATAAATGTCGATTGAGATGTGTCCTGGTACATAAAATGGGGATAAACATTCTTAGTCTCCCTGTAACTTAGGCAGACCTTGGACGAATGGAGACAATCGTCCCATGCATAGGTAGCGTTTAGTGAAATTATATCAAGGTACAGAGGGACTTGGGGATGGTTGGAAGCTGTTAGAAGGTCGAAGCGTAAGAGATCGTGATGCTCCTAGAAGGTGAGGACAACCAGATAGACGCACCCCGCCACGATATGCGCAACCTGAATCCGTTCGTTAAACGGAGTGAAGCTGTTCCTTCCGAATAACCTGCGAGAAAATCTCCAAAGCTGCTTCGGGCTGGAAGGCAGGCTAACAACAACATATGTCGCGTCAGTGAATATTATGATCCTAAGGCAAGGCAACCGACCACCTCGTGTCCAGCTTCATACACACGTCTGAGAGGCAAAATAATGAAATATGCATTGGAAGCGGAAAGCAACCATTTACACGAAAGAGAAGTTGTCGAGGTTCTGCACAGCTGCCACGGGCTTGCCGTCAATCGTCATATTGATGAATGGGGTATTATGGAGCGTCTCATTCCCATACCAATCCATTGCTAGGACTGACGCATGGAGCTGTTAATCAGCATAAGTAATTCTGCAATGTTGGCGGCAAGATACATAACACTCTACCCCAAGCCAGTTACAGCTGAAGTCGATGAGAAGCGTCAAGATAATGTCACATCTCATAACAGCAGGAAATCGGACGTACATGATATCAGCATCTCCAGCCTGTGCCTCCCCAGTAAATTAGTAGACAAATAGATGTTGAGGCACGCACCCAGATCAAAATCTTCATCCCAGAGTTCGCCAATGCCGATAGCTGGGGCAGCCATGTCCTACCGAGCTTTAACAAGAATCCACATTTAGCACTCGAGGAAAGGAATTAGACAAAAACCTACGTCGCCTGTATATACAAACTGATCATAAGGTGGGTCTGGGCACCGCTCGTATGTGACCTGGGCACCGATCTTCTTCATGACATCCTTCTTGTGCAAATAATCCACTTCGTATTGAGGGGGGAATAAATTAGATGAATTTTGCCGCACATCATAGTCGTCGTAACCGTGGGCAGCAGGGAAGTAGACATATTCATCCTGAAGGCGTTAGGTGACACCTGTAGAGATAGCACTGATATGTTGTTGCTCACGCAGTAACGATCGGCATTCTCGCAAATATTGTTTGAGCTGGTAGAATTTCCAGCAGCGTAACAGGCTTTCTCTTGCGCTATGCAACCGTCGTGGCCGTACAGAGCATTTGAAATGTTCTTCAGTACGGGATCCGGCTGGAGTCGTCCGTAGCCAGGGGCATAGGTCGCAAAGGTTAGGTATGCGATGTTCTGAATGAGTGGATCGATCCAGCCACTGCGAATGTTCATTCGACAGAGTAATCAAGCAAGTGATAAAAGCGACTTACTTATTAATCGTCAGAGCACTAACAACGATTGGAACGGCATGGATCGCCCCGCTAGCGATCAAGACATTTTTCTCTTCGAAGTAGGTCACAAAACTGGGTGCATAGTGACCACCATAGCTTTCTGTGGCAAGGATGAATCTAAGCCAGACATAAGCAATCGTTAACGATCACCGAGTTAAGAGACTGACTCTCGGCTAGCATACTTCGAAAAAATTTTGCTCTCAAACAAAACCTGGAATGCAGTCCATACAAACGGCGCAGCAGCTTCCGTGCTATTTACCAGATCGGTACCATAGGAGAATCCGGTTCCGATTGGCTGGTCAATGTAGATTACTAGATGAGAAAGTCAGCACTTGCGACAAGATCGGAGAGCCACGTGCTACATACTGTTGCTGAGATTATTCCAGCTGTATAAACCCGTGTCGGGTTAGCATGCAACGACGTCTATGATCCGGACATACCTGTAGGGATTAAGAGTGGTCGAATTAAGATCGGCATTCACTGAGCATGGTCCGCTTTCTGTACGAAGTGAGAAGCAGGATAAAAGTCAGTCGACCCAATCAAACCTTCGAACAATCCGATCATAGAAGAACATCCAGGGCCGCCATTCAGCCTGTGAAAGCATGTCAGAGGCGCAACTACTAGACTCAATAAAGTGATCCAGATCACCTACCATAGAGTAAATGGGGCTGTTTTAGGGGAGGTTCTAGACTCAAAGAACCAGAACCACTGTTTTGCCATGAGCGAGCTTTGTAACATCAATAGTATAGTGCACAAAGACATACTTACCATGGACATGTTTGTTCCAACATCAATGTAACCAGAAATTTGCGTGACACCTGGAGTTGTTTCGCATATCCCTGAGTTCTTAACATAGCGAATGCCAGTTGCATTGTGAACCTTGGATCGAATCTCGATGTGTCCTGCTTCTGAGGTGTCGAGCTCCACAAGAGAGACGGCGCAAGTTATGGGTGCGCTAGCTAAAAGCGCAACACCGGCTTGAATGAGCGCTCTTAGACGCATGTAAACGTGCGCTGATAGTGAAAAGTCTTCACGGCCAGGTACTTATACAGTACTAGATACTCTGGCCAGATATCAGGAGATCACAGGGAAGTGCGCACATAGCGACAGGAAACATGAAAACATACTATCAAGATGCCGTACGCTAGCGGCGAAGCACTTTTGCATAAGCACGCTGTCGCCATTTAGACCGATTGGTTCCACGGACCACAACTGGCAAGCGGAGCCCACTGACCCCGTGTTAGAAATGTGTGCTCAACCAATACAACTGCGCGGACTAGCACTTAGCCTAATCAGTATATGGTAAATGGTAGGTCTTTTGCTGGCGACCGATGACGGAGAACCGCGGGCTATGAATATGACCTCAGACCGACGTTTCGGCCGCTGGTATCACAAGATGTCACCGTGTCACCGTGTGCGTCAGAAAACACGCTGGAAATGCCTGGGAATTCCGGGCCTACGGGTACCATAATCGTGGAGGACTCATAGCATCTGAGAAAGGCCTCACTTTACGTTCTTCACTGATAGCGCGGCCCATTGTAAGACGAGAGGTAGAAGACGTGACTGGAATGTCACGCATTCCCGCGCCACGCATGCTGATGTTTTCACGGACTTATGCAAAGGGCTGTAAGAATAACACATCGGCAGTATCGGAGTTTTACCTTAAGGGAGATTGAAATCAAAATGTCATTGGAAGATTAGGGGTTTTCACTTCAAATTTTGACACTGGAACAACGATAAATTTCGGTAGACGGCGAGATGATAAGGTAAAATAAACCATTCTGACCCAAATTTTAAGTCCCATTTGAACTTAAAGTTTTCTATTATAACAAATGACAAACAAACATGAAGTTTTGTATCCAATGTAAATAATAAAGTTTTGAGCGTGGGAAAATGTTCCTCAGAATATCATGCAAGGACGGGCATTTTCCAATTGGCTGCACAATCAATTTTTTTGATGAGGTAAAATGTAGTAAGTAAAACTTGGAGTTTTAGCACCAGAAAAAATGATGTGGGCACTCATTGGGCATTCATTGGGCAATTGTCGGGCATTCATAAGGGGGCATAAAATATTGTAGAGTACTGGGAGTCTGGCAATGACGGGGTATAGAAGTCTATTGGAATCTACGTTCCTCCACAAGGCATATCTGATTGAACCGCATAGTAAAGCTAGTCCTAGCAGTAATAGCAATCTCAACAGAATTCTTCTTCATGTTGCATTTTGCGATAGTTAGGATCTTGCCGCAAGTATTGCCATCCAGGATGAGACACTGTTGGTTTTTTTTGTGCGGTGAGGCTGGGATTAGATCACTGGCAGGAATATGGTAGTGCTGAAGCGCGGCTCTGGCACCATTGGATGTGCAGAATACCGCAATGCAGCCATCGGGTGCAGGTCCATTGTCACCGCAGAACGGGTCAGGACAAGCTGTCGATACAAAGCAATTGTGCAGCTTGTCTCCCATGAAGCATGGTGAAACTTTAAACAGCATGTGATACTGAGTCAATTTCAACGCAAATTCTTTGTTCATCAACCAAGGTAATGGGTCTGTAATGAAATAAGCCAAACATTAAGAAGTCCATGTTGGAAACTCACTGTCGCTTCGGAGTTTCTCTGTTCTCTCTGCAATGGTGTCTTTGATGTCCTCAGCATTGTTGGCAGCCCAGGGGTTGTATGCCTTGACACCGGAAAGGTTATCTGTCAAATCAAGATTGTTCCCGGACCAGTCAGACCACTCGCTGGAGCTGGGATCTATACTGGATGGGACTATGGGATCAGATGGGGGAGGGGTCTTGCTTCAACATTGTGGTATTAGGTATGATTTCCTCCGCATGTTGCAGAAAGAGATCATGTCTGATCCTTTGAGCATTGTGCCATTTAACCTCATTCCGTACCTTAAACAGTCATGAATAAAAACCAACAAAAAAATGTGCATGGTGGTCACCTAGTAGCAACATCCGCGTGTTTGACTGTGGTGCGCGCTTGCCCATGCACAGAAATGAAGCAAGTATCATGAGTGAGCTGGTATAGTGTGGCTCGGTAACCCTTCTGTGCACCTCCAATAATGAAGACCTCTTTCCCAATGATATTGCGAAACAAATCTAAGTTCACGTTGGATACTTTCATGATGAATCCGATAGGAATGTTGACCTGTCATAACTCAGAGATGCTCGAGTTGAGGAGAATAGTACTTACAAGTGAGTAATCACCCTCAGATATCAGGGTCAAGCACGTGTTTGGAAAGTCCACGATTTGCACGACCCCTTTCATCTGGAACTCTGGCCCACGGGCAACAATCACGACGTCTCCAGGCTTAACGTCATAACCCCTTTCCTTGGTAAATTGGAGTGTCTTGGAGGACGGTGTGGGGAACGTCCCCACTGTAGGCCCGTATCCTGTATAATTCCCATGCCTTCCCACCATTTTCCCGTGCGTTCCGCTACCATCCCACTACCCATCCGCATCTTCCCCAAGCCGTCCGCTACACGGAACCAAGCGGAACCCAGTGGGACCCAGCGGAACAATTGCGTACCTGTCACGAATCCCAAATATGAACCATTTTTCATTTCTCGGTTTTCCTTCGGCTACTTCCAGTACCCGAGCCGGTCACATGACTTCACGTCATAGGTCACCCGTTGCTTCTCCGATTGGCTCCCCTACTCCATGGGCTAGAACAATCTTGCTTCCTAAAGAAGAACTGGTCGGATCTTGGGTTTCTATTTAGTAACCGTCTTACTCAGTTGCTTATATATCATGATGTCATACTTACTCATCCGCAGTATCGTACAACTCTTTTCTCATTGGTTGATTTCTTTTGTACCCAGATATCTCCGACTCAATGTTATGTATAAGAGTAGGGTAGTTAGTGTAAGAGCTCCTTAGACTTAACCTCTTCGTTTCTACTGTTGTAGTGACCTAGACGTTCACGCTCAATCCAACTCTGTTACTCATCATCATCTCTGACCGAGTCCTAGTGGTTGTGTACTCACCTTCAACATTATTGTTGGACGTCGGTCATAACAGTACCACACACATCATATCCTTTTAGCCTTCGGAACATCCTCCTCCGTCCTGTCCTTGTCCTTCCATCCTCGCTGGTGAGTACTAGCTACGTTCCCCGTGTTACTAACATGTTCCTATCTCATTTCCTATGTGTTACGGTACTTATATGGATCCTTCCGCTACATGGGACCAATTCCTTATCTCACAGCCTCACCCGGTTGTAGCATAGCGCATTTCAGAACCCCTTCCTATATAGGTAGCAATAGATGGGATCTTAGTTTTTTACCTTCTGATAGACTCGACTCCACTTCCACTTACAGAGTACTTCCCAGTACTCCACTCACTGTCTAAAATATCTTCCCGAATCTATTCCTGATCACATTGCATCATTCCCGTCCCTGTGAGTTCCGCTTGAAATGCCTGACATCGGATCCGACGACTTGGAGCAAGTACCAGACACAAGCCTGGTCTGACTTTGCCCAATCATCCTCCTGCAGACTTGTAGTTTCTTTTCCCTCTGTTTGTTCCCCATTAGTTCCGTTTGTTCCCCGTTTGTTCTGTTTGTTCCATGTTAGTTTCGTTAGTTCCCCGTAGTTCCACTCATTGCGCACTGAGTTCCGCTCGTCGGGAACCCTCCACATCTTTGTGTTCCCAGTCCTAGTAAGGACCGGAACCCTTCGGGTCGCTAGACAGAGTCTAGTCTTTGTTTCCTCGCACTTATTTGAGGACTCGCTACCCAGTAGCAATCCCCTCGGGACGAGTATAAGTCTCGCACCCTTGTTAGACTTCTGAATCACCCAGAGTCTATTTTCCTCACCCACAATGGAATGCACTTTACAAATGCCACGGGGACATGGACCAGCGGGTCCTTGATACCACTCCCAGCCCAGAACCACAGCGTGGTTTCTCCCTTAGGAAACCACACTACAATCCTGCATTTCCCCATGTACTCTCCCACACACACTTCTATGTCATCCCTGATTTGAAGGGATTCGGGCTCAGGGAGAGGGTTGAAATCTGGCTGTGTTGGCAGCCGGGATTGAAGCATGTGAGTTAAAGGACGACAATCCAAGTAGTACTTTGATACTTCCACCTATGCAATAATCAGACAGGCCTACAGGATGTTATATTTACTCATACCTCTTCATTGGTGGCCTCTTGACATACGTGAAATAAGTCCTTGGACTTTCTAATGATATGCCCTTCTAAACCTGTGTATGCGCCCGCTATGACTCGAACCGTGCTGCCGACCCAAAAGACAGGCTCAATGTCCTGAAGTCGAAATTCCAGTTCTTGTTGATGTCCATCGAAGGTGAATTCTAAGTGTGCGGTACCAAATGTATGGCTTGTCAAGACGACCGTACCGATTTCTGAATGGACTTCTCCTGTGATAGCCCTGGCCGAATCACCTACGCACAAGAATTGCAGTGAAAAGGCCACCAGAGTTTTCTTTAAAAAAGGTGAATCCCACCTGGCTTGCAGATGTAGTTGAATATTGTTAGCATGAGGTGAGGCAACCAGCTCCAGATTGTCGTGGCAAAATTTCTTGAGTAAAAGCCCCATGTAGTACCGCTCTCCTTTGTATGACCATCCTACAACTTTATCATTCTGAACAATGTCCGACACTGCCTTGTTATTTGGCAGGCAAGATCAGTCGAGCAGCACCACAGATCTCGCAGGCATGTGATATGGGAAGTCGCGTGGGGGAATTAATATTGCGACCAAGTCATTCGATTGCTTGGAATAAAAGACATAGCCGATATCGCCCTTATATTTCCCTTGTGTGATTTTCACCCACCCAGGGTTGGGAAGTGTGGAGCGTGAACGTTCGACCGCTGCTTGTTCTTCCTCCGAAATGCGAATATACTCTTTCACAGAGGAAGAAAGGAAGTTAAGTGATATTGCGATCGTTCTAGGGCTATCTGAGACAGCATAAAGCTGACTTGGTATCCAAGGTGATATGGTAACTGCAAATCCATTGCTCCTAAGATGTTCAGCAACATGTTGCGTGGCAGATCCTACAACATTAAGTGACCATGCTAGATCATTGAAATATACACTCACTGTGAACATGAAGAAGGTACATCCTGCTTTGGACCGCGCCGTAGGATGAGGCCGCTCTATGAGATGCATTCTCTGCATACCTGTCGAAGATGTGATCGATTGCTATGGCTAACCTATCCTTGGCTGATGAAGGTCCTAGCAAGCTTGTAACGTTTGACGACTGTGCGGAAGGGCCATCGTCACCCTCCGACTGAGGGTTTTCCTCTTCTTCCTCTTCTTCTTCCTCCTTCTCTTTCTCATCATCGTCAGATGCTTCGTCATTGATAAAGGGATTTTTTGGCTACGTCTATTATTTAGTATAGAGGCCATGACAACAGGAATGTATTTCTTACTCTTTGGATGCATGTACTTTTCAAGCGACTGGCTGCCTTTGGTGCAGATGTTGATATGGCAGATTCTTTCTGCGGGGTCACAATATTTAATGGACCAGAGGCGCCCTGGGGCGCATGCCTGGCCTTCACAGCGAGAAGATTTTCCAAGGCGAGGCTGTCATCACCGTCACTGGAGAACAAAGCATCATGAGCATCCTTCCAATCGTCCCCATTGTATCGATCGCCGAGATACGAAGAAAAGGACACCTCTATCTGAGGGTAGGTCATGTTGGTGGTGAGGTATTGTTCCAGAATGTGCCATGCGCCATGATCTGCCAGTGGTGACAGCACTTTTGTCCCTGTGTTATCCGCATGAGAAAAAATATAGATGACATGATGTAACTACTCACCGTCATGATTCCTGATGCGTTTTGGGGTAGGTTCATCATCATGAGATTCAGATGCCATACGTTTGGACATTCTGTAGTTGACATCGATTAATTGAACATAGACTTCTGTTGCAGCAGGGAGGCTTACATATTGCACTCTCTATTCTCTATGTATTCAGTATTCTAAGGACTTTGTTATGCTATGTATCAAGCTATGGAGTAGTGGTGACAGAAAGAAGAAATGTTAACGTGAAGGGATCCGTATTTATAGTAAACAACTAATTTTGAGGCACTTAGCAAATACGGCCACAAGTGTGCAGCATTGTTGGAGACAATATTGTGGACTCCGATGTTTTGTGCTGAGACCTAGAATTCCAAAGTCCTGCCTGCCCACATATCCAGCAGTAAGTAGTCAGTAGTTAATGCAATAATTATGTCATAGATGAATTCTATCTTATTCCATCACCTATACATACTTGCAATTGGGTTCAGAAAGGAAATATTTTAGTCAAAGGACACCCTTGATATACAGAATGACTATGAGTTCAAACCCAGCTGGCTGCGGGCACTGAGCACTAGCATGAATTCAGGCTGAGATTGAATCTCAAAGTCATTTTATATATTAACTGTGTCCTTTCAGATGCTTGAACTCTTTCCGACTTTCATCTCTTAGTTCTGCTTGCCTTGACCTTGCACCTGACTTTTTGCCTTACTTCTCAAAGGCTTGGTTTCGCACTTGACTTTGACTCTAGAATATTTGCATATGTAATAGTAATACTTAAGCTTGACATTCAAAGAATAACACTACTGTTAGAATAGTATCAATATGATAACAAAGACAACTTCAGCTGGGCCTGTTGCCCAGCACAGATGTGCCTATGCATATGGTCGTGCATTGCCCATCAATGAATGATTATCGATGCGAATCGATGTTTCACATGAATCCCATTTACGTACATACATTATTTCATCTCAACGGAATCTGTCTAATTTCTGAGAAGAATCATGGTGTGCATGTCCTCATCATGCAACTTCTCACTGCCCAATATGATGGGTTTCACTTGTTCAGAGTGTTTCTCATTCTCCACCAAGCTTTGCACCCTCTCAAGGCCTTCGCCCCTCCTCTGATCTTCGATGTATTTCTCTACTAAGAAACAAACATCATCTGTCAGGTCCTGCGGTCGATCCCCAGACTTTGAATATTCTCGCCAAACATTTCCCAGTGATGTCAATGAGATGGGTGATGTGTTCTGTTGCCTGAGGACCTGCAGCCTGGTGGGTCAGTTTGTCGTGTGGTTATATGTCAATGTTGCTAACATATGCTATCATTGCCATTGCGATAGCCAGCTGGGCTATTTCCCGCACAAAGTTCTTCAGCGCTGACACCAAAGGATGGTCATTTGCCGACTTTGCAACACTGTTCCATTTCCAACACCAGATGGAGATGGTCGGTTCCGTGTCATTCATAGACGTTGCCCCAAAGATCAGGCTGTGGTGTGTGTCATCGTATGTCTTGCAGTCTGTCAGTCTGATTAATCATTTCATGTCATGTAAATGACGCACTGTCACAGTTTGTACTCAGCCATTATCGGCATGTTGCAAGACTTGTTTCAGTGTTCCTTCATTTTTGTCAAAAACATAAATAACTCCTGTGTCACTACCCCCAACTACAAGGGTAGCCTTCGCCCCCAAAACAACCTGCTTCGGGAATGTCTTGACTGGGTTGGTATTATAGGTACGGATACACACTGCATCGTCCAGGTGATGTAAGCTGAATCCGTTCATGACATTGTCAATCAGGAATAGTGTTTGAGCTGCGTCCACAGAAGCATGCCCGCTATAGTGAAATGGTAAGTGATTGTCGACTACTTCTGATGTGAATATCATTCACATCATTGGTCCAGCGTTGTTTGTGGCGATAATAACACCATCTGTGCCCCTAAGTACATGTCTAGAACGAAATATTAGATTCATAGTGATGAGGTGGGTATGGACACCTACATCTTGCCATCATACATGCCAAAGACTACTATGTTTCAACTTGCAGTATGGTGGAAATTTACTGTGCATGGGATCGTAGTAGCGAGCTCAATGCTAAAAATCGGTATCAACGGTCCTTTGAAGTCAAATGACCACACTTGAATGCGTCTGTTGCACATCCCACTCGCAATTCAAGTTTTGTTCCTGGTATGGTCGTATGTAAGACACAAAATTTCCTTACCCGTTCCGATCCTCCTTGACACTGTTGCGTCAAAGTCATGCAAACCTTCCCCCTGCTGTTGCCAAATCCCTATGAAACCAAGTCCCATGCCATAGCATAGCATCTCGCACGTTGCCTCATGGTGGGTAATCCAACATGCACAAGTCACTGGATCAGTTGGATTTCAAACGGCTGGGGTTTGAGGTGGAGTTGGGAGCTGAACTCGCCTTTTGAGGTCCCAGATTCTCATTCCGTCAGAGCCTGATACTTGGTGAGTTAAGTTGTATTCCATCATGCATATCGAACTCACCCCCACTTGCTAACATATTGCCATTGCAAGAGACTGCTAAGCAATTGATGGCGTTCTTGTGCCTGACAAGGCGCCCTTCGAGGCAATAATCGTTGGAATGACTGGTGGAAAGTAAAAACATTGGGGCGTCAATGTAAGTCCATTGTTGATGTCTTAAAGGGCTTTAATATTGACTGACCATAAGGTCATAGACAACAATCAATAACGACACCCTGCCTAACAATGTTATCCTGGTTGGTGCTTGATGTCTGATCTACACCTGAACTATATGACTCCATATAAAATGTCTTTCTGGCTCAAGTTGGGTATCAGGTCAGTCATGACTTGGTCCTCCGTGCCTGTCGCTCCTTTTTATGAGCCCGAGGGCCCCCCCCAGTCCCTTCCATTATTGACGTATCACACAGAAATGTTTTGTCCAATGACATCATTCGTCTTGGTATCTTGGCAAGAAGAGATGGCATTCTTCCCTCCTAAACTCAAATTCACGGAGCGTACGCCTACTCCTTTGCATGTGTTTACTATCGCGTCATCTCACACAGCTACACCCATCCCTTCTGGCCTGCCTGCCCTCAAAGTCGCTAAGGCTGTCTCATTTTCTGCAGATCAGATCACGCAGATCAGCCAGCCAGTGCAGATGTCAACGGGTTCTTCCTTGTCATCCATAGATTCCCATGAATTCAAAATCCCCAAACCAGACAGTGAGGCTGGGCGTCCTAGCTGTGGTGGATACAACTTGGAAAAGGCACTCAAGTGGGATGCCGACCACTTCAAGGCGTTCAAGGTGAGATCACACCTTAAGTAATGAGGTCTCCTTGAAATTGATGACATTAGGAGTATGTTCATGGTTCGATCCAGACACATTGTGACACTAGCAAGAGCAAGGCATCTCAAACTCCTACCATGATAACTGCAGTTCAGATAGAGGTAGATGTATAATTATCTACATCTGTTTGATACTAACTTCGCTTGAGGTCCTCTCTCACTTTTCAGAACTCAATGACTATGACGGCTGTTGGCCAATTGGAGATATAATTCAGATGCAGCTGAAAAATATGTCTGCAAAGCAGCAACAAAAGCATACAAAGTAGCAGTACGTACAAACAAACAGAATTTCTACACCTGTTTGATACTAACTTCATTTGAGGCCTTGCTTTTTGGAACTCAATGACTATGACAGCTGTTGGCCAATTGGAGATATAATTCAGATGCAGCTGAAAAATATGTCTGCAAAGCAGCAACAAAAGCACACGAAGTAGCAGTACGTACAAATGAACCATGAACACAATTCAGTTTTTTGTTAGTTAATTGACTACACTCGAACTCCTAATGGAGGTAGTGATAGTTGAAGAGAATTACCTATCATGTTATGACATCTATATGCCCCATAGATTGCCCCATAGATTGCCTCATCGTACACCCTGGATACTGTTTTTATAATAGAGTTGTTGTAAGGCAAGAATGTTGTAGTCGCATTTGGTTATGCTCTTGACATTTAGGTGAGCTGTCTTGAGATAAAATGTGCACTACTGAAATATTTGAATCAGAAGATGTCCCGCCTGGTGTCATATCTCTTTTTGAATGCTGCAGACAATCATCTGCTTACCCCAGTTGTGGAGTCTTACCCTCTCAATGAGCTTCGTCTGGCAGCCACCATGCATATGTATCCACCCCAGCCTGCTGCCTCAGCTAGTTTAGATTCTCATCCATCAGTAACCATGTCTTCAACCACTACATCAGTCGTCGTCGAGTTCACAATGGTATTATTTGATAATGCCAGGGAGCCTGCTCGGAGGAAGAGAGATGATGATGACCAGCGGGTGGGTCATTGAATTCTTCGCTTTTCTCAGCTAAGAGCCTGGACAGCTGCCGTTTATTTCGCAGTTTATTTCGCAGTTTATTTCATTTACCACAACATGCACAAATAAATGTGACAAGCCACCGTCCAGCGTTACGAACCAAATTGGATACATTGCGCGACCTCACGCCACATGGTGTCAAAACCTTCGTGCTCGCTGTAGGCAACAGCGAGCTCAAGTATTCTACCATTTCAATAAAAAATTTGTACATTCTCATGGACTAAAATCATTCAGCATGTATTTATTACAGTGAACAAAATAGATAGTATCTGATGGCCAATAATGAACAGTTTGGAGTAGCGAAGCATGAAGGCTGTGAATTGAACCTTGTTGTTGGTCGCAGTTGATCGTGATGACAGCGCTGCCCAGCGCCGCCGCAAGCCAATCTCATGGACATGTCACAAATGCGTCACTCATTGTCACCGCAAGTCACACATTGCCACGCCACATACAGAAACAAACTGAGAAATAAACTCGAAATAAACGGCAGCTGTCCAGGCTCTAATGAATATTCAGCCTAATAAAATATTCCTCAAAGAAGTTGATCAGTCATCCAGACTGTGGGATGATGTGCGCGAGCTACAATTCTCCAAGCACGATATATTGCTCCAAAAGCGGCAAATCCAGGTACACATAATTAAACATCTCCTGTGTTCGTACTTGACTAGGTTTTAGATCACTGCCAACTCGCGAGAATCGGATTTGCAATCCATCATCACACAGTATTGAGAACATCAGGAATTCCTTGAGTGTAGCAATGCCGATGCCCTTGCATTATTGAATGACAATCATCACAAGGAACTTGCCGAATTCCAGGTGGGGTTCTGTCCTCACAACGTTAATATCCTGACTTTCTGTGGCAGCTTCAGATGACATTGGGTCTGCATGAAGCACAACAAGAAGCCCGTATAGAACGAGACACACTATTGGCTGAGAAAGACGCTCTCTTTCAATACAAGGCTAGGGTCACCAGAGAGAAGTTGTTGGCTGAGAAAGAAGCCGAGTTAGCCCGCTTTTCTTCCGAGTATAGCAGCAAGATAGCTTCATTGGATGTGCGTATCGACATGTTTGTGTGGGCAGCTCTCCTGATATATTTACAGAGTCAAATGCAACAGGCAAACACCACAAGGTCCCTCCCCTCCCCTGCATGGTGCCATCTTGTAGGCAAAAGACCTGTCACCACATGCACGAATATTGTTGGGTTTTCGATAGTAAGTTCATCTCTCTAGCGTAGATTTATGTTTATTGTCTAACACCACCCATGCCTCAGATTTCTGACGCAAGTTCAGAATCTGATGGAGATGAGGAACCTCAGATTGGCATTGGGGGTGATGCTGCACCCCCCCTTACTTCACTATTAGCCGATGTTCCGATTCAGAATGCTACTGTTGGCATGCTTGTTGAGGCGCTTGCAAAGGTTCTTCACATTCCATTGCAGACAACACCCCCCAGGGCAACTTGATCGAAGCGCAAAACACATAAGCCCCCTGTTGAGAATTTTACTGATGCCCAGCGCTGAAATAATAAGGTACATTATTTCCTGAAACAACTGACATTGCTAATGAAACGCCAGGCCAATGTGCAGGAGCTATTTCACATGGCATTCCATTTCGCAAAAGATGATGAGTATATGCTTCATGTCACTGCATTGTGTGAAGCCATATCGTCTTTCATGCACAGATCGGGCATGGGCCCTGATCCTCTCGAATTGCAGTGGGATATGACAACCACACACAACTCCAAGTGGAACCAAAAAGTAATTGACATTCTCTGCTCCCAGTATACTTCCTTGCTTGAGAAGAACCAATGGACCTCAAGATCCCGTCAGTCCATCATGGAAAATATTACCAATAAATTCAATCAATGCCGCAAGTGCTGGAGAAAAGCGCAGCCTCGTGTGCTCAGCGATGGCATTCGTGAGACTATGCAAGAAATAGGAGATAGACTCGTGGATCAGACCAACAAGTGATTGCGGCTCACTAGGGTTCACACTCACAGAGCGACGGTCAGTCATCTTTCTGTTGTGCCTTGAAGAGTTGAAGAATGTTGAGCTGCTTTCTAGAAGTTCGAAACTTGTAAGAAAGTCACGTCAGCCCTCCTAAGTGACAGGATAGCAACTGGAAAGGATGACCAGGCTGTATGGGTGTATCTACAATCTCTTGTGGAGACTCTCGGCAAAGATGGTATGAGCTCTGATGAGAGTGAGCATGAAGATGGCGAAGTTCAGGTATTTCAGCTGAAGAAAATGCCATGGAGGGCAGAAGTCAGGCATGAGATGCATATCATTGATCAACAGCGGTTGGCAGGTGCCGCGAACTTCACTCCCCACAAAAAAAAACCCCGTGAAGCGTTTTCGCAATGTGAACCGGGAGTCCTCTCGCCAAGCAATAGAAGGCCTGCCAAGGGTGTTATACAATCCTTCATGGTTGAATGACCAACCTCCTTCCTTCACAGTATCTGATAAGAAGTTCCAGAGGATGGAAATTATCGTTTCCCACCAGTGATCATGAACTCAAGTAGCTGCCGTTTGTACACTTATAGTGCCTCCTTTATCCCCTTGTATTCCCTATGTACTTTTACAATCTGTTCACCTCTGTATTGCCTCCGGGGTATTTTTTTGACATGCACTCACATGGGCAGCTCGATTCAAAAATGTCTACAATTACAACAAGCGGGTGCTGATGCGATCAGTGGAGATTGATTTTAGTCGTTCACTATATTAGGCTGCATCTTCACATCTGTTACTCTTTCTTTCTGATTTGAATGTTCCTTATAGCTAGGGCCTTGACAAATCAAATGTGCATTGAGCGCACTTGCTTGGCATTGTGATCTGCGAGGTAGAGACTCATTTTTCTATGGTACATGTTATACATTCTTACGAAATCAAGTACGTTCTGTCTGTAGTTCAATCAATCCGTCAACTCTGTTGCTGTTGGATATCCTCCTGGCATTCCAGCAAGGGAACCTAGTGTGTGGCCTAGTGTGGTGCATTAGACCATCACACTGCAAGGTTCATGAACGCACCTCACCCACAAATTAACAAAGGTTCTGGTCTCACACTTTGAACTGTTCCGAGGGGAAATGATCCGTGCTTCATGCTATTCCAAATGTGTTGTGCTACAGGTGGGATGAATTTGTCGTCGGTGCGAAGCTTCTAATAAACATTGTTAAGGTCATGCTCAAGGGAGGTTACTCAAAGGGCTTTGGCTTCAGCTCGTGCGCTGCGCCCCTTACCTGAGTACGTGCCCTTAATTTCCGGTGGGCAGAGGGGAAGTCCAACAGAAGTCCGGGGAGTTCCAGAGGACAAATGTTGGTGGAGTTCGGTGGAACTCCAGAAGACTATGTAGGGGCATAGTAAGGCTACTATGGAAATCCAGAATAGAAACAGAACAGAGGTTAGACTACCCTGAGGTAGAGCTGGAGAATCAGTCCTAAGGTTTAACCCCTAAGACTTGGAGGTGGACAAGAGGTGAGACTCAAGTCCAGAGATTGCAGGAATGAGCAGAAATAAGATAATATTCGAACTGAGGAGGTCCGGAGTATTACAGGGGTTTATATACTGTAGGTATCATGTAAGTAAATCAGTCAGCAAAGGTAAGGGCTATGTACAAAGCATGTGGAAAGTCTATTAATAAGTGTAACGGATCAAAGCAGTGAAGTCGGAAATGAAGTAAGAATGGAACAGATCAGTAAGCATAGCGGAAGAGGACATAACCTGTAACCAGAGATAGCTATTCTAAAAGGAGTTAGGGGTGAGTACGGAGATGAAGGCAGAGTGCCGGGCAGAATAGCAGGGTCAAGAACCGGACTTTAATGGAGTAGATCCGGAATTCCGCATCTGGAGGTATGGGATATGACAAACAGGATCAATAGAGATTACTGTGAAATGAATTCACTGCCCATACATCTTGTCCGTTGTCGTTTGTTTTGGGCTTCTCTTCACCATTGGGCATAATGTTGTCCACTTCCGTGTCCAACAATGCACCCTTGAGTGCTGCATAGATGCGCTCGCGTAAGAGGTCAGTAGTTGGATGTCCCCCCTTACAATGATAATGGAGATACTTGTTTATTGCCTTTTGTAGGCTGCAAGCAAGTTTCTTCTTCTTCGAAGACAGATGCCCTGCAATCTGCCTGCCGCCAATGTTATTGGCAACATTGGCCATTGAGATTGGCGCCTGAAATTCCTAAACACAATAAGTCTAGAGCTTGTCGGTGGTACTTATGTTGCTAACCTCATCGCCCCCTACATTAGGGCTTGGGATTGAAACATCTTGTGCACTTCCCAATGTCTCGGGTGATTTGGGTTCATCAATCAACATGGCGGATCCCATCCACACAAGCTGTGTATTTGGCTGGGAACAATCAGTTGAGTGGTTGCTTCATTGCGAACACATCTTCACCATCTCTTGTCCCAGACAAAGATCGTACTTGTCTAAATACATGGCAAACCTCCTCATCAGAGGTGTTGGTTCCATTTTTGTATTGCTTGATGCCTCGATCTGTGGCGATGGCCAAACATATTGATTGAAGTGTTTCCTACAGACTGTAGTGGTTTGTGATGTTAGTGTATACAGCGGCATGATCATGAGTTGTGCGATTGAGCAAATGTAGCCTTTAAAACAAGTCCTATGCTCCATGAATGGAATCACGATATGGTCTCCATTCAGGCCGTCTAGAATTTCATTTCGTAGCTTGTTTTCAATTGTATTCCCTACTGGTGAAATGTTTCTGGTTTATCCCCTCTGATTTATCCCCTCTGATCTTTTATCCCTCTACAGGCGATTAAGTCAAATTTAAAACCTTCATGGTCGCTTCTGTGACTAAACAATAAGCTTCCTCAGAACAATCACTTCAAGTGACTTAAAACAAGGTCCTCTTCAATCCTTAAAGATTATTTTGCGATGGGAAACTCAATAAGTCACATCTCTGGCCAGAAATCCGATTTATGTGAGGTCCGCTCTGTATATTCATTCCCTCTGTTCTGTTGTAACTTATTAGATACAGTCCTGGGACTCCTTGTCGACGACCACCTCCTCTGGCACGGTGAGGCTTTCACATGCATATAAGCACCCACTTACTGCTGATTTGTAGAACATCGACACTCTAACAATGGCACCCCTGAAGCGTAAATTCAAATTTGATGATGATTCAGTATCCCCGCGAAAGCAACGCCTCCTAGAATGTTATTCCATGGGCGACATAAGCCACATTGTTGCTATGGTACGTCCCGATTTCTAACATATGCACTGGTATTGACTAAGTTTTAGCCCAGAACAATAAATCGTCGCAACACTGACTTTACAAACCCCTCGGCCAAGCACTTGTACAGGGAGGCGGTATGGAAAGACCTCATATATATTTGTCTCTGTTGATCTCAACCCTAGTCTGATATTTTCTTGAAGCATAAAGTGGATGCTGTACTAGATCCCTTTTCAATTCAACGCGTCAACCTTTATGAGCCTTGTAGCACCCCGGCATTTATATGGTCCTTACCCGCGGAAATCCTCATGGCTATCGTCGCTCTTCTAGGACCACAAGATCTGCGCTGTGTTACCCAGTTTGTTCTCTGTTTAGAGAAATCACTGGTCCCCTCTTCTTCGTCAACCGAAGCTTCCCAACTTCACTGCAGGACATGTTTCACATTCAAGTAGACTCATACAATTTTGACGTTTTGCTTACTTGGATACGTATGGATACCTTTTGTCCTCCCCATATGATGTTGTGTTGGATCCTGATGTGCGGTCCACACAGCTCTCTGCATTTTCACACTTTCTCCAGTCCATCCCCCACAAATTGATACTATACATAACTGTCATATCCCGTACCTCTGGATCTGGAATTGAATTCCAGATCTACTCACCCCTAACTCCTTTTAGAATAGCTATCTCTGGTTACAGGTTATGTCCTCTTCCGCTATGCTTACTGATCTGTTCCATTCTTACTTCATTTCCGACTTCACTGCTTTGATCCGTTACACTTACTAATAGACTTTCCACATGCTTCATACATAGCCCTTACCTTTGCTGACTGATTTACTTACATGATACCTACAGTATATAAACCCTTGTAATACTCCAGAACTCCTCAGTTCGAATATCATCTTAGTTCTGCTCATTCCTGCAATCTCTGGACTTGAGTCTCACCTCTTGTCCACCTCCGAGTCTTAGGGGTTAAACCTTAGGACTGATTCTCCAGCTCTACCTCAGGGTAGTCTAACCTCTGTTCTGTTTCTACTCCAGATTTCCATAGTAGCCTTACTCCGCCCCTACATAGTCTTCTGGAGTTCCACCGAACTCTACCAACATTTGTCCTCTGGAACTCCCCGGACTTCTGTTGGACTTCCCCTCTGCCCACCGGAAATTAAGGGCATGTACTTGGGTAAGGGGCGCAGCGCACAAACTGAAGCCAAAGCCCTTTGAGTAACCTCCCTTGAGCATGACCTTAACAATAACACTTTTCTGGAATTTTGACATTCTCACTTGCTTAGTTCTCCCTCAGATCATCACAGTCCTCAAGAACATCTGTGCCTCTGGCTGCGAAGATCTGACGTGCATGGGATTCTGCGGTCACATTGGCTCATCATCCATCACTGGACTCACCCAAATTCAGGGGCATGTAAGTGGGAATCACCTCAAAACCTTTGATGCATCATCACAGGCATTTTTTTCCCCAAAACTCCTTCCTTTCACAATCCAGACCATCCACTCTTCCCGTTTGGAAAAGCTTTGACTCAGTTCCATCAAACTCAGTTCTGCACACTGGGACAAACTCCTGCAGCACTTGGCCATCCCAACGCTCATTGAACTCCAAGTTGATGCTGATTGCGCGCCATCCACGCTCATTCGTTTTCTGGCCCATCACCCTGGCATTCATGACCTTAGTGTCATTCTGCAACCCTGTGGTCTCTGGAGGACCCATCGAGCCACCGCCCCTTTGGCATTATCGGTGTCTATGCTAGATGGGCCTTTGTCCCATGTCCTCCCAGTCCTTCGGAGTCACCTTAAACCACCCACCCTCACCTGCCTTGCTCTATCATTGCAAGCTCATGATGCTTCACCTGACTATCTCACCACCATCTTACAATGTGTCGGCTATTCCAACAGCATTGGATATCTCACTGTTTCCCTGCCTCTGCAGAGTCATTCCTATTCGGCAATGATTTACACAGGCACCCAGTCAGTGGTTCACATCAGACACTTGGCGATCCACTCCTTGACCGCTGCAGGATCATGCTCCACTTTGTTGGGAGATGCATTGGTGCATGTTTGTTAGAGCACTATTTCAATACCTCAATACTGATCATGGCCCAGGCATTATCTGCTTCGTGGATTGAAGCCTTTCCTCTAGTCAAACGTGTCAGTATGCAAGGCTGCTCCAATCTCACTGCTGAGGATCTTATTCACATTATGCGCAAAATTGCTGCTGATGATGTCAAACTGTCTGTGAATCTGTGTCCATAAGATTCCTTGTAATTCATTATTTGTGTCGCACCCATGCCCCTCAGAATCGGATACCCGAAGGTTGTATTTGCGCGGTACTCAATAGTACTTCTTGTACTTCTATATCCTGCTTTTCAATTGACTCCGCTATATAATCAGCCTATGTACAATCAGCTGCCCACACAGCGGGCGCTGGGTGCCAAATTCTGGCAGGAGTTTGATTATGTAGTCATTTGCTATATCAGGCGCGTTCTTTAGTCACTTCACCTCTTTCCAATTTCTATGTTACAGTTACGTTGAAAGTTCTAAGTACCTACTATGATTGTGACAGTTCAAAGTTCAAAGATTCTCAATAAATGTGGACCAAAGTGTTGGTGCTTCCAACACACCGAACACCAACCGAACACAGTATGTCCATCCATTCCTTGATGGAACGAACTTTGAATTGGCGCACCTAGGAAGCCGCATTTCAAATTCCAGCCCTATGCTCACCATCTACGACATTCGTATCCTTAGAACAATCTTTGTCGAGTACAACAGCCGATTGACATGCCTCAATACTTAAACCTTTGCCTGCGCATCTCATAAGGTAAGAATCTAGTGAAGCTAGTGGTCCATGTTCTGAAGTTTGTTTAGATGCCTAGCCAAATATTCCTTTGCAAATGTACTCAATGCTGCGAGGTTGGAGGAGACAGAGTGCCTAGGAATCCTGGCGGCAAAGAACTGCCCGTCGCTATGAAGCATGTACATTCGCTGCAAGCTGCCAGCATTGCTTCCTCATCCCGTGAAGCTTCTGTGCTTCATCTTGCTCATCAGGCCTTATTTGAGTCCAGCGATTTGCATCATATCACAGATCGTCAAGCATCATCCTCCCAACATTTGGTCCACCCAACACATGAACCCACAATGTCGACACCAGTGGACGATCTCACCACTGAACTATTCGCAATCACCCTAAGTGACAATGAGGCTGATCCAGATAGTCATAGTAAACTCTGGGTTTCTCAATCAGAAGTTCAGCAGGACAAGGGAAAAAGCTGCTCTCTGGATTTTACGACCAATCTGCTGTCTGGACTCACTCTGGATAATATGCAGTGAGCATTGTATATCACCTTACATCGAGCTCTCTAACTTGGCTATTTCTTAGATATATTGCCCATGCTCTTCAGGCTGCTGAAATGCGGCGCCAGTCAAAGGCTCAAGTAACATTGAACTTCGTGGAGTCACAAATGGCCAGAGCTTGCGCTTGAATTTTCTCCACAACTTCTCGTGATGTGTTGCGTGTCATCCGAGATGAGCTGACTGTGATAACTGCGACCCTCAAAAAAGTCAAACACAAGGTCTCCTCTATTGTTTCTAGCAGAAGTCGGCTAGAAGCTTCATGCGATGAAATGTACAGACTGCTGATCAACAAGGAAGATGAATTTCCCGTATCATCTGAGCCTTTCAAGTTTGATTCTTGTGAGTGTTGTTCATTTCCTTGCTATGTTCCTCTGACTAATATCCCATGAAGCACATCATTATGATTTGCCAATTGATTACTGTGACGAGGTTGCCCAACTATCCCTCTTTCTAGGGGCAGTCTCTGTTGTCATTTTTGGCATCAGTCGCAGGCACAGGGAGTTCCTCATGGGAGTTCTCTCCCTAATTTTGAGTCTTGCGATGGAGATGCAGAGCCCTCATTCTGAGTCTCGTTGTCAAAACACTCTTGCTCAGATCCCACAATCTATGGAAACCGTGCTTTCACGCTTTAAGCTTGACAGCCAGACCACTACTTATGCAGTCTGTCCAGTGTGCAATTGTACTTACAAAATGACGGCCAACCCCAATTCAAGTCACCTGTGATACCCTATGAATTGCATCAACAAACCCATACCAGAGGCTGGTCCTTGCGGCGAACCGTTGCTGCAGTGCTCCGCTGACAGGCAATTCGAGCCGATAAAAACCTTCATCTATCACCACTTCCACAACTACCTTGCTGGATTGCTATGTTGTCCCGACCTGGAGGCCTTGATGGATAAGCCTTGTGATGAATTACTAGTGTCCATCGGGAGTGCACCACATATTGTCAAGGATGTTTGGGACGTGGGTTTCTTTCGTACTTTCAAGGGACCGACCGGCCAGTCTCTATTTATTGACAGAGGTGATGAAGGCCGATACACTTTCAAACTCAACGTTGAAGGCAATTGTCAGCGAAATGCATCAACATCCACTGGCATCATCTCGTGCACATGTTTGAACCTCCCCCTTGATATCCGGTACAAACACAAGAACATGTACTTAGCTGGCATCATTCCTGGGCCTTCAGAACCTTCGGGAGATGAGTTAAATTTCTTTCCTAATCCCGTGGTTGATGATATGGTTGAAAGTTGGGAGCGAGGGATACATTATTCCCGCACAGCTCTCAACGCTCACGGTCGGGTGACACACAGCACCATAGCATGTCTAGTATGCGACCTCCCAGCAGTGAGAAAGGCCGCTCAGCTAGTGGGTCCAACGAGCCATTTTTATTGCACTGCCTGCCATTGCTGGCACAGGTCAACTTGTGGTCGAACAGACATCCAGTCTGAAGATTGGAGACTTTGGGACAAGGACAAAGTGCGCCGCTATGCTGAGCTCTGGAAGAATGCCAGAACTTCGGCTCAGCACAACAAGTTGTTCGCATTACATGGGGTGCAGTGGTCGACACTCTGGAGATTATCATACTGGGATCCCCCTCGTCAAATTGTTGTCAACACTATGCATTGTCTGCTGGAGGGTCTCGCACATGCTCATTTCCGTGAATTTTTAGGCCTCACAGCTGACTCCACACATCGCAAGCCTGATATTATCCCTGCTTTTGCTTATTCCTTCCTCGACGTTGACCTCAACAAACCTCAAGACTTCCAAGAAAAAGACGTCATAGTTGTCAAATCAATCCAGAGCCTCCTTACTGAAGCGGTCCCCAACCTTGAGGGGAATGATACACAGCTTATTGAGGATCACCTCGTACAGTTAGAGAGGAAATTGTTGAACAAGACAGTTGCATCCCTTCGGTTCGTGTTGGTAGGATTGGGCATCATGCCAGACGCCCCACACCCTGGCAAAAAAGTCTTCAAACCCCATTGGGTTAGATCGCTTATCAGTTGGGTAGGTATTTTATTTTATTGGTGTTATTGTACCCTCTTAAACCGCCACCATAGCATCGAACCCAACCTTTCACTTCTGAGCTGTCCAAATCGCGCATTGGTGCCCCAGAAGTCATGCAACATATTACTGATGTCATTAGGACGACAGATACGCCATCCTCATTAAGATCAGTCCCCTATAACTTCGGGGAAACGAAAGCTGGGACTGTGAAGGCCGATGAATGGCACACATTAACGACAGTATACTTACCCATAGCTCTGGTTAGCTTATGGGGTGAGGGATCTACTCATCACACCTCGGAAATCGCAGCCAGTTGTCGTGCCATCCTTGATCATATGATGGCCCTTGTATCTGCCGTCCACATTGTATGTCAATGATCCATGACCACGGCTCGAGCAGAAGCATATCGTGGATACATTGTCGACTGGATTAGGGACTTGCAGGTATTACTTCCACATGCACCCCATCGCACGAATGGTCATATGGCATTGCACGTCTGGGACTACCTGCAGCTCTTTGGTCCCATAAGGTCATGGTGGTGCTTCCCATATGAGCATCTCATCGGGCAGCTGCAGCGGTTGCCCAGCAATCACATTTTCGGTATGATTCCAACTTCTGTGTCAATAGTGATCCTCTTACACTGGCTCACACAGGTCAGCAAGAATCAACTCTCCTTCACTCATACATCAAAGCTGCAAAGCTCAAATACTGGCTGAACCGACCTTCTTGTCCTCCCATGTTTAGGGAGGTGAAGTCTCTATTTGACAGATTTGTGTCTCCCTCAATCGACGCCAATCCTATTTCTGTGCCCAAAGATCACCCACCTACACCACAACAAGTTATTCCAGAGGACCTCCACCAACTCATTCAAGTTCGGTGGGCAGTTTTGCATGCTTGCACACTTCACGAGGGATCTGTTTATACCTGTGACTCCACCCATCTGGGCAACAGCCTGATCCTCTATTATCCTGGTGGTATCAGGAATGTGCAACCAACACTGGGAATCATCAAGTATATTTTTGAGACAGAGCAAGTAGTGGGCTTCGCCGGGCGACATCACCTCCCTCAGTACTCTCGCCCTGACCCTTTCCGCCACTATCCTCACTTCCAAGCTTGTTTATATTCCTCAGTGCTTGCAGACCATCTCGAAACTGTCATGCCTGAGTGGGTAGTGTCACATTTCGCACGATGGAACTTCTCTACACAGCATATTGTTGCCGTGTCTTTGTGTCAGGTGTGTTCCTCCCGCTTTTTTCACATGTTATGACGGTCTCACAATGAATGAATAGGACTGAATCATATGATTTGCTGAAGGGGAGTACTTGTATTTTACAATATGTAGATGTGAGCCTTTATGTTGTTGTTTATTTGTACATTCTCCAGTAACACCATGTGCAGGAAATTCCGGACTGAGTTTCATTCTCTATATAAACCTCATTGAGTCATTGTTTTTTTTTCTCTTTTTCATCATCCTGCGCACATACACCTGTAAGCATGATCCTGTTTTTTGCTGTTACATACCTATACCCATACGTACATATTATATACATATATCATGATCCGGGACCCTACCACATCTGATGGGACTGTAGATGTAGTTGCAATACCAGTACACATTGACGCGCAGGATTCGCAGTCTGCTACCCCTAGCAATATCCAATGTGATAGTTCTCCAGCCGACGGGACTGTCATCCCTGCTGCAGAGCTGATACTATCACTGCTTTCTGCATGGGACTCACAGCTCACTGATACTCCCATCAAACGGGATAGTTCCACCTTATTACCCTTCACGACTCTTGCATGATGCCGAGTCGACACTCTTAACGCTATGGGCAAGGAGATAAAAGACCATGTTGTTGGCCCAATGCCAGTGGAGGACTTTCTCGATGAATTCCTACCGAATCCGAAAAATCATGACCCCTTGGACTTCACTTCGCTCTTCACTTCAGCCTCCAATGCTGAAGTATTCAACATGCAATCCATTAAGAAAGAGGAGGATTCTTACAATCTATTCGTGAGTGACTCCACATCTAAGATATTGAGATCGTTGACAATCTAACTCCAGATCAACCTGTCATATACCTGATCCGACCGCCCTGATATCCGCTCCGCTTTCCAACCCCCTCCGCTCCATTCATCATCCACTCCGCCCGATCATCATTCGTATCCGCTCCGCTCAACCGCTCAACCGGTCCCCTTCCATAGCATCTCCATTCAACTGGACCTCTTTCCCCTTTTAGATATATGCTTTCCTTTTCGGTACTTAGACCATTACTTCCGGATCACCGGTAATTCCTATTACCACTCAATCACTGATCTGACACGTACATATTGATATCCGCCCCGACTTATGTCTTTCCTATGTAAAGTACTTACAAATGATATCCTTGGTACATAGCTTTACTACATAGTTATCCTGGTCACTGCCTCATACATAGAAGTATATAACATATCATGTACTTAGATATTTTTCCTTAGTCTTAATATTACTTGTCTTCTCGCAGTTACATCTTGTGAGAATTCTCAGTAGGACCTTTCCCCCTCTGGACACAAGTCTCAACTTGTCATCACCTCCAACCCTCCGATCCCCCGCTCTGACTTAGAGCCGTGCTCTAAGTCTTTTCCATATACTCCGCCCCTATCCAATATTCTCCCTTGTCCCTCTGCATCATCCCCCACCTTCTCCGCCTCTGCCAAACATTCCCATTGCTCCTATCCACCCTCTGCATCAACCCCCGTCTTCTCTGCTCCGCTCCTAGTCGGCCCACCGCTAGCAGCTCATACTCCCCGACCCTCAAAGCGGACCGAAGCGGTCCATTTGTCCTATCATCGGACAACGTCGGACCCGCTCCAAATTCGGGGCACATACTCGGCTAAGGGCGCAGCACAAGAGCTGAAGCCAAGCCCCGACCCCTCTGCCTCTTGAGCCGGCACGGTACCTAACACAACCACATACAACCCTTCGCCCCCCAATTATCATTTGTGAACTCGTCCAACCGTGCAGACGTGAAGAATTGTTCATCATTCACATTCAACGTCAAGCCAGATGTATGTGTATATGCCGACGGAACATCTCAAGGCTGCGATATCGCCAAATTCGAACTTAACATTGAATTCCAATGGAATGATGCAAATGACGCATTCAGCAAAGATCCTGGGCTTGATATGCATATTGTATCTGAGACCGAGAAGGCCTTTGATACATTGGGCCAAATAACGAGCTATGCTAGCGCTCAGCTTGGCGCTCAATATTGTACCCACACATTCTCTGTGCTGATCCCCAGTAGAAGTCCACTGTTCCCAGAATGGCTGAGGTTGTGTGAGGTTGTGCAAAAAATTGAGACGAAGCTGAGATTGCTTGAGATTGGCTGGTGGTGTTAGTGCACTGGTCTGAGATTGTGTGAGGTTGTATGTCTCTAATGTCGTCACTGCACATTGCATGTTGCACACAACAAATTGCATACATTTTACACAATGTCGATGGCGAAGCTTATCCGAGTCCCGGGTCTGCGGATTTAGGATGACTTGGAGTATTGGAGAATCCCAAGTCCCCAACCACAGCTTTTCCCTCAACTGTCTTTCCTCTTTCTCCCCAACCATCATCTTCACTCCAACCATCTCCCAAGTTCACTCTAGTCAATCGTTGGTCCACCTACTTCTAGTAACTTTCTTTTCCCTCTGGTGATTTTAGAGGCCCTCTCACTTAGAATGACTTATACTGGATGCACTCAGAATCTGATTCTGAGGACTGGAGGGAATGTTTAAGTGAATATATGCGCATATATTCATCCTTTAGTGAGTTGTTGATCCACGCTTTCACCTGTCTTACCCGCTGGTGGCTCACATTTATGACAATTATTCGTGTTCTGTGCTCGTGACTCATAGAGACGCATTTTCTCCCATCTGTGATTAAAGCGAGGGCTTGAGGGTATGTTTGAGTGACTGTATGTGCATATATTCATCCTTTGGTGAGTTGTTGATTGGTGCTTTCATGCATTATCTTTCCCCCTGGCTCACATTTATGAATTGTCCTGCACTTGTGACTCATAGAGATGGCTACCGTACTGACCCCAGAATACTCCCTAGATCCCTCTGATGCATCCGATGGGGCTGTCCCACCAGTCACCATTGCCACCGATCTGATACAAATTACTAGTAAGTATTACCACATAACTGCATAACTAACTCAATCTCCTCCAGCACGTGAATGGCTCGCTCGCAATGAGACTGGATCAGCAGCCGAGTTCAAGACCTACTACGATGGACTGTCGGAAGTGCAGAAAAAAGTGCGTCTTTTGTATTGTTTGTCCTCGGGTTGGACTGACATCTTTAATCAGTCATACGACGATCTCGCTGCCAAGAAGGTATGTAGTGACTTCGACTAGAACATGTTGCACCTACTGACAAGTACTCTTTCTACTAGGTTGCAGCTGGCGAATGGCTCCATTAGCAACACCACTCTCCTTCCAACTTCTTACGATCTAGAACGAGCATGGGGTAGAACGGATGGTGGCAGGAACGAGCGCGGGCTAGAACGGACGGTGGTGGGATGCATCGAGTTTTATTATATCCAGCGTCTACCTGTAATAATGTATATACTACACAATACCAGCAGATCTGGCACAATCTAGAGTGACACAACAAGCATTGCAGCCAAGCAATACCAGCAGATCTAGCACAATATAGGGTGACATGCAAATATTGCATCTAAACAATCTGCGACAATCACACACAATCACACACATTTGCACATGTGCTATTAGTCTCATTTTTCTCTTGAGATTGTGTCGCTTAGTTCAGACAATTTCACGAAACCTCAGCCATCCTGGGAACAGTCGACTTCTACTGGGGCTGATCATCCGCAATCACGCTTGCATCATCAGATGGGATATGGAGGGAGCTATTGTTACGGGCGCCTTCAATTACAACCACGAGCCACACTTAGCCGACTTCTTCTATTGTTATGCACGAGCATTGCCTGAGATGCATGGCATTGATACTTCTGTCATGCCCGCTAGCACTGAGGATGCTACTCTTGCAAGGATGGCCTTGAAACTTCCCACCACTACGCGCATGTTCAAAGTTGCAGTTCCTGAGGATCCTGCTGTCAAGGACTCTGGCTGGTTGACGTTGATTATTCCCCAGCCTGTTGCAAAAGGTTTTCCACCTGTTGGCCGCTGGACTCGCACATGCCCTGCATTTGATATCCTGAACCAGAAGGTCGTAATGTTCAAGGACTCTTGGCGCGTGTCAATAAAGGATGTCCTACCGGAAGGTGAAACTTATAAATTATTAAAGTCACACCAAGTTCGCAATGTTGCAACATGCATTGCATTTCATGATGTAATCCACCATATCCCTCAGCAAAACACCCAGACTGCCAAGTTTGGAAGTGCCAAATGGGCGTGTCCCAACAGGGCCGTCACCAAGAAGCCCATCACTCTGCATACTCTTCACCGCCTGGTTCTTGATATTGTGGGCGAGAAGTTGAACAACTTTGCAAGCTCTCATGAACTTGTCCGGTCTATCCGTGACGCATTGTTAGGTGTGTATCTTTGAACCTCGCATATCACCTGATTTCATTAGCCACGCAGCTCACAAGGATGCATACGAAAACGCAAAAATCTTACATCGAGACCTCAGTGTCGGGAATATTGTTGTCTACCAAGGGGAGGGCTTCCTTATCGACTGGGACCTAGCAAAGTTACTCACCATTCAGGGTTCTTGACAAATGACTCGCACGGTATGTTAATTCCATGCCCAAACTCATATCTTGTACTGATTTTGCTGTCGCTAAGGGAACCTGGCAGTTCATGTCTGCTCACCTCGTCAAGAATAGCACCACCAACCATACTGTTGAGGACAACCTTGAATCAAGCCTTTATGTCGTTCTGTGGACGGCTTTGATGTACAAGGAGAGCTACATGAGCATTGTTGACCGGACACAATTTATAATGCAGGTCTTCGACACTGATCCGCTGCGGGGGTCTGAAGGATTTGTGAAATCGAATTGGCTCGTCGCGAGAACCTACTTCCCACAGGATATATTTGTTGGCTGCAAGCCGCTTGACAATGTTGTCCTTGAACTTGCTCAATTCTTCTCGCATAGGTACTTCACGGTCCCCCTTGATGAGCAGGAGTCACTTGCACAATTGCAGCTCTCATTGAAGGATGCTTTAGCCAAAGGGGGGCATGTACGCACGGCTGGACATCAAAAGATGATAGATGTCATACAAAGCTTCATGTGGGAGTCGCCTGCTTACAAGAAGGAGATGGGTATGAAGCTCCTGCACTTACACGACCCTGTCATCAAGATTTACAACAAGCACCTTGAGTCATTCGGTTGGCCTGATCAAGACACAGCCACACTGCAAGCACTGCATCCGAGCGAGAAGGCAGCTGGGTGTCACATGTACACGAAGTTGCTATGCATCTCACAGGACGTGACGCCAGTACGGGTGCAAGTCACACCAACTGGCAAGAAATGTAGGCTAGATCCTGAGGATAGTGACGAGATCCTCAGTTTGGTGGTTGGCTTAGATGACCTTTTGTCCTTTACCCAATGATATTCTAGTGTTACTTTGCGTGCTATGTGCATCCTTCCTACGATACTGTGATACATTTTTCGTATACAACATTACTTGTAATTGTAGTACGTCAATGACCTGCCCATTTGAAATCGATGTCATTCCCCGGATTGAAGTTGTGAAGCCGAAAGAGATGATGGTGTATGAGATTCTGCAGGATCAAACACTCTGTCCTTACATATGGTAGACACTAATGACATTAAGTGCTTCTTACCCAACGGGCCACCAAGTGCCCAATGAGTGCCCACTGTAATTTTCCATGGTCAAAATTATACATTTTTCTGAACCTCATTTTACCTGGAGACAATCTGAAATTTCCTGGAATGGGAAAACACCCGTTATTATATAATATTTCGCGTCTGTGCTTCAAAATTTTGTAATTACCATGAATACCACTGGTTGCAAAAGTTAATATTTATACTAACATTTATGTCAGCAGAACACTTAGAGTATTATATACATTTAGATGGACTTGAAATTTGTATCGAAATGTGTTGTTTTGCTGTGTCAATTTGCCGGCAGTCAAAATTTGTTATAGTTCCAGTGTCAAAATTCAAAGCAGAAATGGATAATTTGTCGACCACATTTTGATTCAAGTCTTGCCTGTGGAAAAACTCCCAAACCGCCGGTGTGTAAGTATATGTGAGAATTTACTGATGAACTTATATAAAATGAAAGAGAACCAAATATCAAAGACTTGTAAATCTACGACATAGAACTACACCATGACCCCAATATGAATGAACACAACCCTCTGCTCGAGTGGTACCTCCTTCTTTGGCACGGTGCGTGTAGCATGGTTAAGTGCCCAGGCTGCCTTCATACAGTCATGTCACTGCCATCCTCCAAATCCTTGAACATATTGTGATAGAAACCCTCGACAATGTGTTTTGCAACAGCATCATCAACCGCCCAAAGAGTGCCAATGACGCTCTTGAACCCCGAAAACTGCAGACCAGCTGCAAGGTGGATAACCTCGTCGGGCATCTTCTCATCCCCAATGGTAGTATGACATGCCAACAAGAATGCAAATTCAGCTTGCGGGGCATCATTCTGCATGATGTCAAGCAGTGTGAGAGGTTCATCTCTCATGGCAAAACATGAATGATAAGGCTGCTGGCGGTCCTGTTTGCCATGACAAGCAAGGTGCACCCAGGTGTTGCGCTGCAAGGCATCGAGTGCACCTGCTCGTGTAGCGTTGCCGCCAGAAAGATTGGTGAACTTGACATTAGAGGGAATGAGTGCATGAACAAGCTTAAGCTCATTATCAACATCGGCAAGCACTGTGCCTTGCCCGATTGCCATGAAGGACGGAGTTGCGCGCATCTTCATTGTCTGCTGAGACCTGATCAGAGCAGACAATGTCAACATGTAAGAGCAGACGTAGAGATCCTCCAGGCATGGTTCCGGCTCTGAACGGCCTGGCTTCTTTTGACAGGGGTTAGCAGCATGGAGAGGGAGGGACGTGAAGGCTGCCGTCGGACATAGCCATATCCGAGACTGGGGCTGCAATCCCAGTTTATGTTGGAGGACATTAACGATGGGTTGCATTATCTCATCCCATAATTTGCGCAAGAGCACTCGCAAATCCTTCCTTGGCTCTGTTGGGCCCATAAGACCTGTGTGCCGTATCTCCCTGGCAAAGTCATCCTTGAGCATCTCTAGATGTGCGAGAGAGAGAGATGGGAAGGGAACATGGTGGGGTTGCCCCGACATCGGGACAATGAGGGCGTCACATGAGTATTTGCTGGCAATGAGGATGATGACTGGGCCATGGCGCGCTGCCACTTGCAGTTCTTTGTATGATGGTGGGAGCAGGAATTGCGAGAAACCATGAATATTACGAATTTCGGCCACCGCAGCTTTCCATCGTGTCAAAAGTCTCCTGTACGCTGTTGCTGCCCAATCAATAGCCGCTCGGTCTGTGCTAACTGTGGAAGCCTGGGAGTCAAACAGGCATTTGCTGAGCTCTGAGAATGTGAGAGCTAGCTTGGGACTTCTGGACTTCTGGACTTGAGGTCTTCCAGTGGCGTTCTAAGTCGAGAAGCCAGCGACCATTGTTGGCCACGGCCCTGCTCCACGAGCTTGACAGCCCTTTGTAGGTCACAATGGCGTAAGGCACACGATGCAGCATCTACAAGGAGTTTTCTTGCATAATGGAAGGCAGCAGCAGCTTCACGTCACTAAATGGTGGATGATCGTGTCGCCAAATGAGCGTCAAGAAGCTCAAAAAATGTTGCGTAGGCCTCCAGTGCCGATTCATGGTAATAAGCCTCAGCTTCATCAACCCAGTGAAAGGCCCCCTCAATTCGATGCGGAAAGCCTTTAGTGGGGTGTCTGGATGCCAGCTTGAAGTTTGCCATTGCAAGGGACAAATCAGCAGGTTTGTGTTGTGCCCGGTAACGAGATGCATAGGCTCGTTGCAGCCATCTATAGCTGTAAAATCTGTCCGGGTGCAGTGGAGGCAAAGCCGTCAATGATTGCTGGCACAGAATAATGGCCTCCTCAACATCTTCATTCTTCCAACCTTGCGTGAAACGAGAGCAAAGTGCCGAGCTCAAATTGTGCAGAATTCTATGGCGCTCTGGATGATCATGCTGCATTAACCAAAGTGATTCTCGGTACCAATCGATGGCCTCGTTAAGATCCCCACTGGCATGCGATTTGTCATATCTGGTTTTGAGCGCAGAGGCAATGTTGGCAAGGATGGTGCCACGACATGGATGCCAAGGTGGGCGCAATATCAACGCCTCGCGGTAGAGGCTGATAGCTCTGTTTACGTCATGAATGTAATGACTTGGATGTTTTTCGAAACGGGTGCAGAGGGCGGCCCCCAGGTTGTCCAATGAAAAATCACGATATCTATGTCCAACAGGGCGCAGGCGCAAGGCTTCTTCATACAAGGAGATGGCCTCGTTGAGGTCGTGGGATTTGCCTTGATGATCGAAGCGGCGTGCGATAGAAAAGGCCAAATTATTCAAGTAGGTGTCACGACCATGACATCCTTTGGGAGCCAGAGAAACAAGTTCACGGCAACATTGTATCCTCTCGTCTAAATCATCAATGTTGCCGCATTGTTCAAAGCTTGCTCCGAGGGCCTGTGAAAGCTTCTCGAGGGCATTGAGATGGTGTTGATGACCCAAAGGACAGAGCTCGAGTATGATTCGTCGAAGTTGGATGTCTTCATCAGATCCGTCCGTTGGAAGCTTATCGCATTCATTGATCACATAATCAACATCATCTTCCCCAGCCGCAATGTTGCGAAGATAGGTGCCCCCAGGAGAGAGATGCAGTAGCTCATGATACAGTCGGGCGGATTCACAAATGTCAGCGGGGGTTGGTTGATTGTGGTGGCGCCAGATCAACGCTTTGGTAAGATGGTAGAGAGATAAGGGACAATCAGGGTGGCCCTGCGGATGCAATGCAAGGGCGTCACGGAATAGAGAGATAGTAGAGTCGATATCTTGAAGATCATTTTGGATATAGCCTTGAAGGCGGGCCCGCGCGAGGTTGGTGACAGCGGCCGCATGGTCGAGATGACCAGCAGGACATTGGTCCAGAACCAATTGAAATTGCTCCACAGCATTGTTCAGGCGAGAGACCGTCTTGCTTGTGATGTATTCGGCAAATCTTGTATGGCCTACATTTGTGTACCGAGCAATCTCGTAATCTATGATAGACTATAGTTTGTGTTCTGTCAGCAAAAGCGCACAGCACAGGGGCTGGAGTCACTCACATCAAACTGTCCACCATCGTCGTTTCCGCAAGGATGCACAGAAGTCTTCAGCGTGAGAGAAGGACAAACACCCTGAATAAGCGGGAAGGACAGATCTACAACCAATAAGGAGATGTAGATGAATGAGATGCAGTTCACTCACCAAAAGGCTCATCTCCATGATCGAGGAGCTCATCCCACGATGTTTCAAGTTTCCCAATGAGTTCTCCCTGTCCTAGCATTCGACCAAGCTCAAAGGATGCCCAGATCTCAAGTGATAAACTAGGGGACACATCTGGTGATCTGGAAGGCGATGATGAGTACAATCACATCTGCAAGTCTCTGTGGAAGGCTTTACAAGGTCACTGTATCACTCCAAGGTACGGAACAGTCGGACAATAGGACTCGGATAGCTGACTTCCAGCCTCTCCTCTCGTTGAGTTTGATGGACACGTAAATCCCTGCAGGTATGCGCTCGGAAGGGACACTGAGATTATGTCCTCTGATGACTGGAGAGAGCGTGAAGATCCCGAAAAAATACCAAGGTCCTATATAATAGCGCACCTTGAAGTCTGATGTATTAACCTTTCCAGCTACCGGGTATGATGGCATTATCAAGTAAATGACAAGCGGCACGGTGCATCGAGGATGAACTGAGTGGTGGGACAAGAAGGGGCTGTGGATGAACTTGAAGTTCAGGTGCGAGGGAGAGGAGGAATGGGTGAGCATTGAGGGGATGTTGCAGCCTGCACCTGCACCTGCATTTCCGGCCTTCCCCACTACCGGGCATGATGGCGCGATGAAACAAATAACGACTGGCACGGCGCATCGAGGTGGAGCTGAGTAGTGAGACAAAAAGGATGTAGGATATGGGGACTGTGGATGAAATTCAGGTGCGAGGGGGAGGAGAAATGGGTGACAGTTCGATGCACGCTGCAGCCTGCATATGTATTCCCATGCTGTTGATGGTTGGTCGGCACGATAGACGCTGGTCGTAATTTCGCCTAGTGATGAGACAAAGATATGACACAGGCGGCAGCGGGAGGGGCTCTGTTGATGAAGTGTACAATATTGTCATGGTTAGTCGTCAGTCAAAGTGGCCTGCGATGAGGCAGGCTGCTAGAGCGGTCATGAGAGTCTGAGAGTAACCTGCAATGCTGACCTGGCCTTTCCACTCTTATCGAAGCTGTTGGTTTTTATCACGCATACCAGTCACTTAGCACACTAGGGCAAAATGTAGATCCCAGTGTATTTCATAGTGCAAACAATACAAATACAAACCATTGAAAACGACATCAAGTAAAAAGCGGGTCCATTGCATACAAGTCCAGTTGAGCTGATGCCATGGGACAGGATGACCGAGAGGTGCATCGAGTGACGAGAAGATGTGAACATGAATGTGTGACTTAAGCAAGAGTCAGATGGGCACCGAAGCGAGACTTTGAACATTGAAAGTGTACGTGGGGAGCCTGTTTGTTAGGCGCGCGAGCTCAGCACACTTAGGAAACGCTACTTGTGTCGGCAGGGATCTAAAAATTTAAAATAAGGGCAAGAAGCGGGCGATGATTTGGGCATTTCCGCGTATTCCGCGGAGGCCACATGGCTTCGATAAACCTCGCCAGCATCAGCTGGCGTCGGTTGTCTTTGCTTACAAGCCGCTTAGTTGTATCTTCCGCTTCGAGTTCTTGTTCAGCAGCACGTCGGGCTATAGTCGGTCCTGAAGCTTCAAGTCCCACGGCCACGCGTTGGCTGGGCTTCCAGTGCCGGCGGCCCGGGATCGTATAATGGTACCTGACAATCTGGAGAGTTAACAAAATCAACGACATTGAAACGGGATGACGATTCAATGATATCAGTGCATGGATGTCCTGTAGTGCACGTCGTTACTTCATCGCAAAATGATGGTATATGATAGCTGGCGCGTTTGCGATGAGTGGTTCCGGGATTTCTACCAGGCTATAAAGAGGATTAGCGACGTCCAAAGCAAGGAATCGGATGTACACACGATGACAGGAAGCCCGTAGACCGCTTCGACCTCCTCCCTCATCAGCTCCAGTTGGTCTCCGGTATCGCGAGGGGGAATTTGCTATGTAGGTCAGGCCAAGTCGGGAACTTGAAGGAGTGCGAGGACAATGAAGATGTGACTGAGGCTAGAAAGGGCTAGAGTCTAGAGACTCAAGTAGAAGTGGCAAGTGCCGAAACATCACTCATGCCAGGGCTCGGATGCGATAAGTACTTGATTGATTGATGAAACGACGAAAGCAGCAAGAGGCGCTGTAGAAGAGCCGGACCAGAAGCTATAGGGTACGACGAGCAAAGCAACGATGCAAAATTTAGGGTCTGTGCGCAGGTACAAAAAAGGGAGCAGCAAAGGGCTTCGAAAAAAGCGGTCCACAGCGGTCCGGGATCACGGGAATGACGGAGATTTTTTCCCCTGGTCCCTTATCGGGTCCAGGGATCTTTGCATGGACCCCTGGACTCCTCAATACCGTGCTAACTTCTGGATGGTAATGAAGAACGGATTGTGCTTGGATGCCGAGGCTGCATGCATGGAGACCATTGGTGAGGAGGCCCATGTAGGCCCATGTGATGTTTCGAAGCTAAGGTTTCCCGAATACGCACCAGATGATCACATGGCCCGCTGGCGCCCAACATAGAAGAAGTGTACTAGCAGCGACTTGCCTTTGTTAGGTACGTGACCATGCAACCATCCCTGCATTTTCCCTAAATCAGGTTGGCAAGGCCCATATAAGAACATGAGGGTTAGTGTTGACTTCTGTTCCTTGGTGCCCTTGAGTACAATGTCCAGTCTTACCTTGCCCTATGCGCCGCATTACGTTGCAGCACCTCCTACAAAGGAAATTTGTCTGTATAGAGTCTTCTGCTCAATACCGGACACTGACATGTGCATTGATAGTGGAGTATGCTGACCTTGCGATCATCGACATTTCGAAAGCCGCCACCGAAGAAGGTCGCGCAGCGCTCGCAATTGAATTAAGGGAGGCTCTCCTCAACCATGGGTTCTTCTGTGTCGTGAATCATGGATATTCGCAAGCCCAAGTGAGGCAATTCTCGCATATCATATTTTTATCATATCTCGACCCAGACAGCTCGCATGCTTGACATTGCGGATATGCCCTTCTCGACCGTCCACGATGACGAGAAGCAGATTTATATGTCAACAAGAAAAGAGTCAGTTCACGGATATACATTACTGCCATACACGGTATGTAGCAGTTGTGCATCGCGCAAAACACAAGCGTTTTATTTGTGCAAATCAATTAAATTCAGGATGTCGATGGTAGAGTACGCGACCAGCTTCAGCAATACTCCAGTGAGCAGAACACGTTCAATCTTCATCGACTTACTCACACCATTATAGCCAATTGCGATGTGACCGAGCGAGGACACCCAGAAGCCCTCCGTCCTCTTCTCCCAGAGATCCAGGAGTTTAGCAAACACAATCACTTCAACGTGTTGCATCCTATCCTAAGGTAAACATATATCCTGGTGTGCTTGAGATGTTTCTCTGATAACACATTTTTCAGGCTTATTGCACGCTGCCTCGAGCTGCCGGAAGATACACTGGTGAACAACCATGACTATGATGCCGTTGGCGAGACAGCTGGTACATACTTTCCAAGCAGTTCATGTCATTGCTAACTTATTGATAAGTCACGTTCCTCAAGTAGTAAGTTCTTCCTTGAGTTTCTACTCTTCACTAATTCATGTAGTTTAGCCACCCACGAACAGAGGAAGAAGAAACCGAAACAAAGAACGTTTGGCTGAAGGGGCACACGGGTCAGTGACCTGAATCACGAACAAAACATGGGCTCACAGCTTTACCGCAAGACTTGGGAAGCATTACGATTCTGTGGAGTCAGCCTGTCGCTGCACTTCAAATTCAGACCCGTGAAGGCGAATGGCGTTGGATCCGTCATCTGGAAAATGCGCTTGTAGGTGGTCACGTTCTATCTCTCAACGCATGACATAACGAGAGGCGTTACAGGTTGTCAATGCAGGCGATGCAATGGACTTTCTTTCCGGCGGGTACTACAAGGGCACGATTCACCGTGTTGTGCAGCCCCCAGTGGACCAGCGGAACTATACTCGCCTTGGACTAATCTACTTTAGCATGCCCAACGACAATATCAAGTTGGTGCCGATGGTTGAAAGCCCAGTCTTGAAGAGAGTGGGAATCCAGAGACGTTGCGATGATAGCGAGGCACCGACGATGGAACAATGGAGGAAAGCGAGGTCAGTGGCTTATGACCATTCAAAATTGAAGGTGGAAATGGGAAGGCCGTAGAAGAGGAGATCATTAATGGGGTGGTAGTTAAGCATTACAACTGAAGCTTTTGTTGTCCTTGTATGACGAACATCTCCTCGGCGAGAATATATAAGGTTCAGTGCGAGAGGTTCTTAATTGCGCGCCTGGGCTATGCTAGACGAGGAGCACTCGTGCGCTACTTACGTGACACGCGCGTACAATCGCAAGTACCTGCTTACTAGCCAGCCCAGATGTATCAGAGTACATAAAGCAGGGCTGCACAATCCTAGTCTTCCCTAGACAATCGTCCCTTCTGTAGGTAGTGCTCAGGGAAATTGTATCGAGGTGCAGAGGGACTTGAGGATGACGGTCGGCAGCTGGTGAAGGTCGAAGTGCAGGACTCAAGCAGAAAGCGATTACAATGCGCACACAACCGGGTCAACGCACCCCGCCACGATGTGTGCTACCTGAATCCATTCTTTACACGGAGTGAAGCTGTTCCTTCCGAATAACCTGCGAGAAAATCTCCAAAGCCGTTTTAGGCTGGAAAGCAGGCTAAAAACAACATATATGGCCCATCAGTGGGTATCATCATCTTGAAGCGAGTCAACCAACCACTTGGTGTCCAGATTCATATACACGTCTAAAGGCAAAATAATGAGATATACTTCGAAAGTAGAAAGAAAAAACTCACGCGAAGGAGAAGTTGTCGACATTCTGCACAGCGGCCACTGGCTTGCCATTAATCGTCATATTGGTAAATGGAGTATTATGGAGCGTTTGATTGCCTTGCCAATCCATTGCTAGGACTGAGGCATGGACCTATTCACCAGCATAAGTAATTCAGCAATGTTGGCGGCGGCAAGATACGTGACACCCTACCCCAAGCCAATTACAACTGAAGTCGATGAGAAGCGTCGTCAGATGTCGTAACAGCCGGAAAGCAGACTTACATTATATCAGTATCTCCAGCCTGTTCTCGCCTAGTAAATGAGCAGGCAACGAAGTAAACGTTGAGGTACGTACCCAGATCAAAATCTTCATCCCAGAGTTCGCCAATGTCGATAGCTGGGGCAGCCACGTCCTAGCGCTCTTCAACAGAAATCTGCATTTAACACTTGAGGAAATAGATTAGACAAAAGCCTACGTCGCCTGTCTGTCTAAACAGACCCCTGGGTGCATCTAGGCATTCCTCGTACTGGACCTGAGTACCGATCTTCTTCATGACATCCTTCTCTCGCAAATAATCCACGTAGTATTCATGGGGGAACAGAGCAAATGAATTTTGTCGCAAATCATAGGCGTCGTAATCGCCCACAGCAGGGATCAAGAGATTACCAATCTGAAAGTGTTAGGTGACGCCCGTAGAGATAGCACTGATGGTTTGTTCCTCACGCAGTATTGATCGGCATCTGCGCAAATCTTGTTTGAGCTGGTAGAATTTCCAGCAGCGTAACAGGCTTTCTCTTGCGCTAAGCAACCATCGGAGCTGTTGAGGGCATCCGACATATTCTTGAGTACATCATTCGGCTGGAGTTGTCCATAGCCAGGGGCATAGGTCGCAAAGGTTAGGAATGCAATGCTCTGAATGTGCGGATCGATCCAGCCGCTGCGAATGCTCATTCGACAGAGTCATCAAGCAAGTCATGAAAGCGACTTACTTGTTAATCATTAGAGCGCTAACAGCGATTGGAACGGCATGGATCGCCCCGCTAGCGATCAAGGCATTTTTCTCTTCAAAGTAGGTCACAAAACTGGGTGCATAGTGACCACCATAGCTTTCTGTGGCAAAGATGAATCTGAGCCAAACATAAGCAATCGTTCACTATCACCGAGTTAAGCGACTGACTCTCGGCTGGCATACTTCGAGAACAGCTGGCTCTCAAACAAAACCTGGAATGCAGTCCATACAAATGGTGCAGCCTCTTCCGTGGTATATACCGGATCGGTACCATAGGAGAATCCGGTCCCGATTGGCTGGTCGATGTAGATCACTGGATGAGAAAGTCAGCACTTGCGACGATATCGGAGAGCTACATCCTACACACTGTTGCTGAGATTATTCCAGCTGTATAAACCCGTGTCTGGTTAGCATGCGAAGACGTCGATAATCCTGACATACCTGTAGGGATTAAGAGTGGTCGAATTAAGATCAGCATTCACTGAGCATGGCCCGTTTTCTGTACAAAATGAGAAGCAGAATAAAAACCAGTCGACCCAATCAAACCTTGGAACAATCCGTTCATAGAAGAACATCCAGGGCCGCCATTCAACCTGCAAAAACATGTTAAAGGTGTGACTAGACTCAATAAAGCACCGACCATAGGGTAAATGGGGCTGTTTTAGGGGATTTTCTAGACTCAAAGAACCAGAACCACTGTTTTACCTCGGGTGAGCTTTGTAACATCAATAGTATTGCGCACAAAGACGTGCTTACCATGGACATGTTTGTTCCAACGTCAATGTAACCAGAAATTTGTGTGACACCTGGAGTTGTTTCGCATATCCCTGAGTTCTTAACATAGTGAATGCCAGTTCCATCGTGAACCTCGGATTGAATACCGATGTGCCCTGCTTCTGAAGTGTCGAGATCATCATCCACAACAGCGACGGCGCAAGTTATGGATGCGCCAGCTAATAGCGCAATGCCGGCTCGGATGAACGCTTTGGGAAACATGTCAACGCGCGCTGTCAGTGAGAAGTCTTCGCGGTCAGGACGTCCGGGTATTTATACAGTACCAGATATTCTGGCCAGATATCCGCTGGTAATCAAACGCAAGTTCACACATGGCGGCAGGAAAAATGAAACATGCCCGGACCGTACGTGCTCAAAACATTCGAATACACAAACGCTGGGATTGCCGTCGAGCATTTATTGACCCTAACAAGAATCAAACCGCGAGAATATCAGGGTAATTTGTACAACAACTTTCGGAAGTATAGCGTGGCCAGACGCAAATGGCTTGTAAATTCGTACAATTATGTAAGCAACACCCTCGATATTCAGTTTTCTGGGTTTCAATAAAACGAGAACAGAGTGCCAAGCTCAAATTTAAGAAAAATCTATGGCACTCTGGATGATCATGCTGCATTAAACGAAGGGATTCATGATACAGATCAATGGCCTCGTTAAGATCCTCGCTGGCATGCAATTTGCTATATCTGATGTTGAGCGCATGGGCAAGGTTGTGAAGCTTATGACATCATGACTTGAATGCCCAGGCGGGCACAATGTCAGTCCCTCGCGATAGAGGCTGATAGCTCTCTCGACGTCATTAATGTCACTGCGTTGTCTGACATGAGCGCAGAGGGCGACTCTCAGGTTGTCCAATGAGATTTCACGATGACCGACGAGGAACTTGCTCTTGCTATACACGGCAAGGATATGAAGAGATGACATTGGGAGACATTGGGTTGTAACTTATCACTGACAAGCTTGTGAATGTAAGTGATGATTGATTAATGCATGTATCGAAGCTAATTTCACGTGCAGGCTGAGCTCCAGAAGAAGCTTGCTGGGGGGGGTTGCCTTAAAGAAGTGTTCAACAGTTCGCGAATCTCTACAAGACCTCGATTTTCATTAGCACCGGTTCCATCCTAGAGGCCCACATAATGTTTCGACGCTAAGGTTTCCCGAATGCGTATTCGTCAAGACCGGCGCAATGTGTCCTTGGAATTGTACGATCAAGTGTTCCCATGACCCAGCGAACACAGGAAGTGTACTGCCAGCGACCTGCCTTCGTTAGGTGCGTGACTAATACAACGGGCCATCCCTGTGTTTTTCCTAAATCAGGTTGACAAGGCCTCCAAGACATATAAGTCAGGATATCTGGAAAAATTCACGATTAGCTAACGTAAATTCTGTAAAGGGGGTTCGTCTGAGATTCGTTCTATAAAAAAAAAGGAATCCTAAAAAGTCACGTGACGCCTTATTCTAGCCCAAGATGAACTCGAGAATTGCCGCCTGGTGGCAGTACTAGTACTATCTACAGTCTATGAGAAATGCTAAGTAAAACTAGAGCGGAAACACGAGAAAATACACTCGTAAAACATAGGCAAGCATATGTGAACCAAAATGATAGATTTGAGGGAGCTTGCATGTAAATTTACAAGTACGTGGCACCGGGCACATCCGCAGGGAGGGAGCCTGCCCAGAAGTTCGGAATTTACAAAATTTACAAAATTTACCGTGTATTTCTCACTGTCCCGCACTTTCCTCACTTTACTGACTCAAAATCACACTTTACTGGACTTTACATTAATGTATTGCACTCACACTCCCTTATCTCTACCTTCTCCTTCTCTCCCTCGAACTCATCCTACACAGCTGCCATAAACAGGTGCGGCTGTGTTCCAGTCACGTGACAGAGCTTTCCTCCGCTCTGAACCTTCTTCGTCACTGTCGTGCGCAACGCTGGAGGTGAATGCTGCCAACAACGCAACAACAACTCCCCTGGAGAAGAAATACTGTATGTCATTTTTTTTCCTCATGCTTCTCAGTACTCACATTATACAGGGCCTCTGGACTACTGCACTTCCACTCGCACCACCCATTGGAGGGTAACTTCAAGATGAAGGCCACTGCTGGTGACACTCACTTGGGTGGTGAGGATTTCGACAACCGTCTCGTCAACCACTTCGCGCAAGAATTCAAGCGCAAGCACAAGAAGGGTGAGTCTATCTTCTAACCTAGTTATTTACTCCGGTGCTTAATGACATCGATGCAGATCTTTCCTCCAACCCTCATGCTCTCCGTCGTCTACGGGCTGCTTGCGAGCGTGCTAAGCATACTTTGTCGTCGGCTACACAGACTTCCATTGAAATCGACTCCCTCTTCGAGGGTATCGACTTCTACACTTCCCTCACTCGTGCCCATTTCGAAGAGCTGTGCGCGGACCTGTTCCGCAGCACGCTCGAACTCGTCAAGAAGGTTCTCCGGGATTCCAAGATCGACAAGGCCAATGTCCACGAAATTTTTCTTGTCGGTGGTTCTACTCGTATTCCCCGTATCGTCAAGCTCGTGTCCGACTTCTTCAATGGCAAGGAGCCCAACAAGAGCATCAACCCTGATGAGGCTGTTGCATACGGCGCTGTCATTCAGGCTGCCATCCTTTCTGGCGACACCTCTGAGAAGACCCAAGATCTCCTGCTTCTCGATGTCTCTCCTCTATCGCTCGGTATTGAGACCGCCGGTGGTGTCGTGACCGCTCTCATCGAGCGCAACACCACCGTCCCCACTGAGACAGTCTCGATATACTTGGGCAGCCAGCCTGATGTCTTGACCAAGGCTGCTGCTTTCAGCAGCGGTCAGCTGACATCAGCTGGCCCCTCTCTGGCTGCCCCCTTTTCAAGAATTTCTACTTCTGCACTACCATCACAGCTCAGCATGGGCATCCAAGGGCTATGGGAGGTGAGCGAAATAAATCCATGGCGGTATTGACTTTGACTGGTACTGATGCCATCTGCAGCGCGTCAGCACATCCGCCGACAACCGAACACTTAAAGAGCTCGCACTGTCAGAACTGAAGACCGAATACATTGGTGGCAACCCCATAGTCAAATTGTTCAGGATCGGGATTGATGCTAGGTACGGTGCTACTCTTCTTTCACATGTCTGCAGTGAACTGACTCGTGTTGTTAGCGCATGGATGCACGGCATATGTGCCGTCTTTCAGATGAACCATGCAGGAGCTGGCAAATCACCGGAACTCCGAACACTGTTTTTTCGGCTGGGCACACTACTAAAGCTTCCCCTGCATGTGGTCTTTGTCTTCGATGGCCTGAGCCGCCTGCCAGACAAGGGTCGAACAATCAGACACAGCCCCCACTGGCTCACCCGCGACTTCCAGCGCATGCTGGAGTTGTTTGGCTTTCAGTGGACCGAGGTAAGTTTTGCTCACCTCACCTCATGAGACTGTTGTCTCACCACTCCCCAGGCCCCGAGTGAAGCCGAAGCCGAATTGGCTGCCATGAACACCCATGGTGTTATCGACGCTGTGATGACCGAGGACAGTGATGTTCTGATCTTCGGAGCTGTGTGCATAATTAGAACGTATGCCGTCATGTTTTTCTCATGCTTTTGCCATTGATTTGTCGCAGTGCGAAGAACGACAAGGACTATCTCAATGTTCAAGTGTATACGGAGGATGGTCTCGAGCATGGTGCCTCCTTGACCCGAGGAGATCGGCTGCTCATTGCCCTCCTGGTGGGCGGAGACTATGATAGAGGGGTGCCTGGTTGTGGAATTGAGATTGCTCACAAGGTTGCTATGTGCAGCAGAATTGGTGAGAATATGCTCTGCGCATTCCTGTCTATGCCGCCGGAGGAGTTCTCTGAGCGTGCGGAGGACCTCGTCGATGAACTACGCACTATGCTCACCAATGACCCCTACCATGACCTCAAGCGTCGGTATAAGGCTGTCGCAGATTGTATCCCATGCGATTTTCCACATCGTGCAGTGATCGACAAATATGTCCATCCTCCAACATCTTTTTCAGCCGCGGAGAATGTGCTACTGGACGTGTCGTCCTCCCAGCCACATCTTGCAGACCTTGCAGACTTCTGCAGGCTGCAGTTGGGCTGGGACGATGATGCCATCATTGACAAGATGCACGGGAGTGTGTGGGAGGGTGCATGTCTCCGCACCATATGCAAGGTAGGCGGCACATGTGGTTCAATTTTTATAGACTCTAACTCATGTTTTAGTTGCCCCGTCAGCATGCGGACCACACAGACCGCCGGCCGGTGTTCAAAATAATTGCTCGTGGAACGTTGATGGCATTGCGGCATGATATCGCTATTTATAATATCAAAGTCGATGGTTGGTGGTTGGCACACAACACCCTAGGCAACTCAGCTCAAGGGAAATTCTCTCCCTCGTACATGCGTCTTCCGGCAACAATACTGGATCATATGGCTCCCCAAGTAGTGCAGCAGTATATTAGTGCCTAGTGCAATCAATTGTCGTCTCCTAATCTAAATAGTGTGAAATGTGAAATGTGAAATTGTCATTAACTAGTTAGAGGCCCCTGACAATGATCTCCGTCCCGAAATTTTGAACTACCTTTGTGCCACACTCACTCGTTCGTGTTCACAAAGTATGGCACGACTCAAGAAGGATTCCGCGAAAGCCCCCCAGCTGCCAGACACTGCTCAGAAGAAAGCTGGGCGAAAGACGAGATCAGCTGCTGCGAAGACAGCTTTAGCAGACGTCCAAAAGTGTAAGGAACATGGAATAAAAACTCACCTTCAGGCAAATAACACAAGGACGAACTATGCCGGGCATGTTCGGCGTGGACGGGAATGGTTGGCAAGCCATTTCGAAACCCCGAGCTGTTCTGCTGTCAGCGAGACTTGGAGGGGTGACACGTCTGAAAACTCACTCGTTCTGTTGCCTGCAACTGCCGAAATACATGCCGACAATGACGTGTATGAGGACCCGGCCTTCAAATATGCATTTGAGAGCATCCCGAACAGATGCTCTGACAAAGCACTGGCGCTCTTCATGTCCCTGAAAGGGTTCCACGAGAACCTCAGCAAAACTACTGTCGAGAGCATCCGTTCGGCATTTAAGAAGCTGTGGGAGCTATCGTGAGTATTATCAGTACACAAATTAGAGCATACGAGCACTGACTTACATTTTAGAGATGGTGATACCTATCGTGGCAAATGGCACTTCAATGAGGCGAAGCAGCGCTGGGAAGGAAACCCTGCTGATTCTGCAGACATTTATGATGTGCTGTCATCCATCAAGCATAAGGCAAGTGCCGAGGGAGGAGATCGCACTCACTCAATGGCAATGACGAAGGACTACATGGATCGGGCATTCCGATGGCACCAGGCTGTGTGTCCACTCGAGATTGCACTACAGATGATTCAGAAGGTGATGAGTGGTGCTCGGCCTTCGGATATGCACCTGGACTTGGAAATGAGGACAAAACTTACTCGCCATCTTGAACAAGTCACGTTCGCATCGAACGGATGGACGTTATGGACAAGGTGAGATCTGATTAGCTTTTCCGCAGCACGTGCGCGATCTAACTTGCCCGCAGGTGTTTTGAGCTTGTAAAGTTGCAAAGAAAGGATATCTCACTTGATACCACTATTTTGGATGGGGTGCTCGGCGTGTACCTTGCAAACGAGACACTCACGCTGAGTAAATGCACATCATACTTCGAGATCTTTCTCGCTCACCGGAAAGGATGGCAAAAGAAGGTGGACAAGGGCCAATGGGAAGCAGATCTGAGATGTGAGTTGCTCACATTAAATCGAAGCCGGATGACTAAATGACCTCACCACTGGCAGCAAATCACTACAAGATTTATCCACGCCCCAACATGCCAGCCTGCGACAATTTCTTCTGGATGTTAGTTTGGATCAAGTGGCTTGAATCATTTCACTACGGGCGAACTCTCCAGCCGAACGACTTCATTTTTCCTGCGATGAGTGCAAATGGTGTTGTGCATCCTGGACAGCCAATCTCTCACGATACGGTACAAAAATGGATCAATGAGTCAACCGCTGGCGCTGGCATCCGTGGTAACTTCTCAACTCACTGCTTTCGTCGGGGAGGTGCGCAATATTGGTTCATGTTTGCTCCAGTGGGCCAGCGGTGGACACTCGCTAAAGTTCGTTGGTGGGGGGGATGGGCTGATGGCGAGCAGGTATGTCTCATGTTCTTATGACTGACACTTGACTGATGCAGCATTTTTTTCTCATTGTGTCTATTTTCAGCGTGATACACTCGTTCGCTACCTCCTCGACGAACTACATGCATATGAGACTGACTACAGTGATGCCCTTGCCCCCATCTCCCGCGGTGCTGATGCCTCCCTTGCTGGCGAACATGCTCTCGCCAGACCAGCATCGACAGAAGAGCTTCGCATGGTGCACGCATCCGTTTCAGCAGATGTCAACTCCCTTCGCAATGACATGCGCTCCCTAACGAGTGTTGTAGCACAGGCTGCCTGCACCACAGTAATCGCTCTCCAGCGTCTCGATTCAGGCCCCCGCTTCACCAACGTCTCTGAGTGTGCCTCCCGCACACCAACTCCACCTGTCAGAGACATATGTGCGAGAGCCGAACAGCCGGTTTTACCCAGGCCCGTCGTCAGCCACACTCTCCCTACCACCGAGCCATCCATCCGCACCTCGTCACAACAACTCTGCACCACGCTGCCCATCAGCATCACTCGGGCTTCAAGTACCCAGAAACTCCCAACACCTGGCCTTGTGATCCCTCGGGTCCCAGTCTCTCGTCCCAACGGAACCACCAGCCCGAAGCACAACTCCTGGAAGGAGATTGTCGAACACTGGCTTGTTGGCGATCGAGACCGAGGACTGACAACGCCACTGAAGGACTGGCCAAGGCACTGGTACCAAGGTGCAAATAGACGGTTTGCATCAAAGTACCACCAACGTGCAACAATCGCGCTAGAGTTCATTAATCAGTAAGTCCCTGCGCTGGTATCTACACTGCCGGCACTGCTAACCCTCTGTTTCGGCTCCAGGTACGAGTCGAACGAGGCACGCTTCCTCGCAGCCTATCCAGAGGCCGAGCTAGGGCACACGCAACTTCTGAAGGCTGTGAACAAGGCACGCGCTGCACGAGGGGACCGTATCTCTCGCAACAAGTGATACCGGTCCCGTTTTTACTACATACTATCATTGCCTTTCAGTGCTTTCACTGCTTCGCTACGATGTTTCACTGCTTTGGCTGACTCTGTACATTCCACACTCACTGCCTACTACTTAGTAGCATACTACTGATACTCTACCTTACCACTCGCCGTCGCTAATCATGCCCGCACCCCACTCGCGTTTGTTCCGTCCTGCCAGCGCATTTGTTGAAACGCTCTGTTTTTTTCAACCAAAACTCACGCCTGTCACACAAACTGGTCATGTGCCAGCGAGGTCAGCGAATCCCGCCTCGAAAAGGGAATTGATCGTGGTCACGTGCTCTCGCTTGGTGTTTTGGCTGAGCGCCACCGTAAATTTCTCGACATAAGTACATGTTACAGGGTCAATATTGACTTGGTTCCCATGATTATAATGCCCAGTCTTACCTTGCCCTATGTGCCGCATTACATTGCAGCACCTCCTACAAAGGAAAATTGACTGTGCAGAGTATCTTGCTCGATACAGAACACTGACATGTGCATTGATAGTGGAGTATGCTGACCTTGCGATCATCGACATATCGAAAGCCGCCACCGAAGAAGGTAGCGCAGCCCTCGCAATTGAATTATGGGAGGTCCTCCTCAACAACGGATTCTTCTATGTCGTGAATCATGGGTATTCGCAAGCCCAAGTGAGGCAACTCTCTTGTATCACGCAGCTTTCCCATCATGTCTCGACACAGACAGCTCGCATGTATGACATTGCGGACATGCCCTTCTAGTTCTCAGCTGCTGCCGTCAATGATGATGAGCAGCAAATTTATGTTCAACAAGGAGAGAAACTAGGTCAGTCCAAGCATATAAATTTCTGCCATACACGGTACGTAGAAATTGTACATAGTGCGACACGCGAGCGTTGAATTCGCGGAAATCAATCAATTGAATCCAGGATGTTGATGGTAAAATACGCGACCAGCTTAAACAATACTCCAGTGAGCAGGATGCGTTCAATTATCATCGGCTTGCCTCACGCCATTCTAGCCAATCGTGACGTGACCGAGCGAAGACACCCAGAAGCCCTCCGTCCTCTTCTCCCAGAGATCCAAGAGTTTAAAAAACACGATCACTTCAATGTATTATACCCTATCCTGAGGTAAACATATGTGTGCTCGGGGTGTTTGTCTGATAACATATTGTTTTTCAGGCTTATTGCACGCAGCCTCGAGCTGCCAGAAGATACACTGGTGAACAATCATGACCACGACGCCGTCGGCGAGACAGCTGGTACACACTTTTCAAGCAGTTCAAGCAGTCGCTGACTTATCGATCAGTTAGGTTCCTCAAGACGTAAGTTCTTTCTTGAATTTCTCCTCTTCACTAGTTCATGTAGTTGAGCTACCCACGAGCAGAGGAAGAAGAAATCGCAACAAATAACGTTTGGCTGAAGGGGCACACGGGTCAGTGACCTGAATCATGAACAAAACATGCTCACAGTTTTGCTGCAAGACATCGGAAGCATTACGATTCTGTGGAGTCAGCCTGTTGCTGCACTGCGAATTCAGACACGTGAAGGCGAATGGCGTTGGATGCGACATCTGGAAAATGCACTTGTAGGTGGTCACGTTCTATCTCTCGATGTATGACATAATGAGAGGCGTTACAGGTTGTCAATGCAGGCGATGCAATGGAATTCCTTTCCGGTCGGTACTACAAGGGCACGATTCACCGCGTTGTGCGGCCCCCAGTGGACCAGCGGAACTATACTCACCTTGGAGTATTCTACTTTGTCATGCCTAACGACGATGTCAAGTTGGTGCCGATCGTTGAAAGCCCAGTCTTGAAGAGAGTGGGAATTCAGAGATGCTGCGACGATAGCGAGGCACCAACTATGGAACAATGGAGGAAAGCGAGGTCAAGGGCTTATGACCATTCAAAATTGAAGGGTGGAAATGAGAAGGGCATAGAAGAAGAGATCATCGATGGGGTGGTAGTTAAGCATTACAACTGAAGCTTCGAGTTATACTTGCAGTCTAGTCGTCCTTGGGCGACGAACATCTTCTCGGCGAGAATATTGGTTTTTCATATACAAGGTCCAGTGCGAGAGGGCTAGCAAGTATTAACACGAACTAGGATGCCATGTATGGAAGGTCGAAGCGCAGGACTCAAGCAGAAATGCTCCCAGAAAGTGAGGACAACCAGATCAATGCGCCCCGTCACGATGTGCACTACCTGAATACATTCTTTAGACCGAGTGAAGCTGTTCCTTCCGAATAACCTGCGAGAAAATCTCCAAAGCTACTTCAGGCTGGTAGGCAGGCTAAAGAAAACACATGGGCATTAGTGAATATTATCATCCTGAGGCGAGGCAACCGACCACTTCGTGTCCACATTCATACACACGTCTAACAGGCAAAGCAATGAGATATGCCTTCAAAGTAGAAAGGAAAGACTCACGCGAAAGAGAAGTTGTCAATGTTCTGTACAGCCGCCACGGGCTTGCCATCCATCGTCACATTGGTGAGTGGGGTATTATGGAGCGTCTCATTGCCATACCAATCCATTGCTAGGACTACCGCATGGACCTGTTAACCAGCATAAATAATTTAGCGGTGTTGGCGTTAAGATACGTGACACCCTACCCCAAGCCAGTTGGAGCTGGAATCGACGAGAAGCGTCAAGATAACGTCAGATGTCATGACAGCCGGAAAGCGAACTCAATATCTGTATCTCCAGCCTGTTTTTCCCCAGTAAATTAGCAGACAACGAAGTAGACATTGAGGCACGCACCCACATCAAAATCCTCATCCCAGAGTTCGCCAATGCCGATAGCTGGGGCAGCCATGTCCTAGCGTCCTGTAACAGGAATCCACATTTAACACTTGGGGAAAGAAATTAGACAAAACCTACGTCGCCTGTACTTGCAAGCTTATCATAGGGTGGGTATGGGCATTCCTTGTATGTGACCTGAGCACCAATCTTCTTCATGACATCCTTCTCTCGCAAATAATCCACGTAGTATTCATGGGGGAATAAAGAAGACGAGTTTTGCCGCAAATCATGGGTGTCGTAACCGTTCACAGCAGGGGCGAAGAGATAGTCAATCTGAAAGTGTTAGGTGACGCCCGTAGAGATAGCACTGATGGTTTGTTCCTTACGCAGTATTGATCGGCATCCGCGCAAATCTTGTTTGAGCTGGTGGAATTTCCAGCAGCGTAACATGCTTTCTCTTGCGCTATGCAACCATCGTGGCGGTAGAGGGAATCCGACATGTTCTTGAGTACGTCATCCGGCTGGAGTTGTCCATATCCAGGGGCATAGGTCGCAAAGGTTAGGTATGAGATGCTATGAATGAGCGGATCGATCCAGCCGCTGCGAATGCTCATTCGACAGAGTCATCAAGCAAGTCAAGAAAGCGACTTACTTGTTAATCATTAGAGCGCTAACAACGATTGGAACGGCATGGATCGCCCCGCTAGCGATCAAGGCATTTTTCTCTTCAAAGTAGGTCACAAAACTGGGTGCATAGTGACCACCAAAGCCTTCTGTGGAAAAGATGAATCTGAGCCAGACATGAGCAATCGTTCACGATCACCGAGTTAAGCGACCAACTCTCGGCTGGAATACTTCGAAAACAGCTGGCTCTCAAACAAAACCTGAAATGCAGTCCATACAAATGGCGCAGCCTCTTCCGTGGTATATACCAGATCGGTACCATAGGAGAATCCGGTCCCGATTGGCTGGTCGATGTAGATCACTGGATGAGAAAGTCAGCACTTGCGACGAAACTGGAGAGCTACGTGCTACACACTGTTGCTAATATTATTCCAGCTGTAGAGACCCGTGTCGGGTTAGCATGCGAAGACGTCTACAATCCTGACATACCTGTAGGGATTAAGAGTGGTCGAATTATGGTCGGCATTCACTGAGCATGGCCCGTTTTCTGTACAACATGGGAAACAGAATAAAAGCCAGTTAAACCAATCAAACCTTGGAACATCCCCATCATAGAAGAACATGCAGTGCCGCCATCCAACCTGCGAGAGCATGTCAGAGGTACCACTAGACTCGATAAAGTGATCCAGATCACCTACCATAGGGTAAATGGGGCTGTTTTAGGGGAGTTTCTAGACTCAAAGAACCAGAACCACTATTTGCTATGTGTGAGTTTTGTAATATCAGGAGTACCATAGCGCACAAAGACGTACCATGGACATGTTTGTTCCAACGTCAATGTAACCAGAAATTTGCGTGACACCTGGAGTCGTTTCGCATATCCCTGAGTTCTTAACATAGCGAATGCCAGTTGCATCGTGAACCTCGGATTGGATCTCGATGTGCCCTGCCTCTGAAGTGTCGAAATCATCCTCTACAACAGAGACGGCGCAAGTTATGAATGCGCCAGCTAATAATACAATACCGGCTCGGATGAACGTTCTGAGAAACATGTCAACGCGCGCTGGTGTTGAGAAGTCTTCGCGGCTAGGACGTCCAGGTACTTATACAGTACCAGACACTCTGGCCAGATATCAGGCGATCACAGGCAAGTGCACATATAGCGGCAGGAAAAATGAAACTCCAAACATTCGAAATACAAGCGCTGGCATTCCCGTCGAACATTTGCCAACGAATATCGACCCTAATGAGAACCAGAACGTGAGAACATCAGGGTGATTAGTACAAAAACTTTCGGAAGTACAGCGTGGCCAGATGAAAGAGCCTGAGAATCGCAATATGGACTACATTTTGCCTGGTGTCAGAAGAAACCGAAAGCACACGGGGTAGTGTTATTCGCATCAACTAGTGCACTGTCGTCGTGTCCGTAAGCGTGCACGACAACGGCCTTGAACGCAACGAAAGGTTGCACATCACAGATGGATGGAAAGGAAATATCTACGACGAGTTATGTATGTGCATGAATGGGAAGCAGATCACTCACCGAAAAGCTCATCTCTGTGATCGAGCAGCTGCCAATAAATCCTCCGTGGCCTAGCATTTGACCAAGTTCAGTCTCTAGTGATTATCCAGGTGACATATCTGTTGATCTGTAAGCCGGTAATGAGTACTGGAATCACACCCGCTATTCTCTGCAGAAGGCTTTACATCTCCCCGAGCTACAGAGCTGTCGGATGATAGCACTCCAGCGTCTCCGTTTTTTTTTTTTGAAAAAAGGAAGAAAAAAAATCGAACTTTTGTCCGTTGGGATCGTAGACCACATGTTGGACATAACTGTTACAGCGTTTCCTCGAGTCGACATTGATAGATATGTAAATGCCTGCGGATATAGCGTGAAGACAATGAAACGGATCCCAAGGTCGTATGGAGTGGCCCACCTTCAAGTCTGATACATTGACCCTCCAAGCTACCAAGCATGATAGTGCAATGAAGCAAATGATAAGCGACAGAGGCTCGAGGATGGGTTGAGTAGTGGGGTATAGAATATGGTGACTGTGGATGAAGTCCAGGCGGCGAGAGGCAGAGGAGAAATGAGTAAGGATGCGACCCCAGTGTGTGATGATGGTTCGGCAGGCTCAAAGCGCCCTGCAATGTTGATCTAGCCCTGCCACTCTTATGGGGAAAGTTGTTCTTGGCTTTTATTAGTCAATACTAGCATACTATAAGGCAAAATGTAGAACTCAGTGTACTTCATAGCGCAAACAACACAAACTGCTGAAAACGACATCAAGTGCACAGAAGAACCGATCCCTTCTATATCACTATGCCATTGAGTTGATGACATAACAGTACAACGAGTGACGAAGAAAATGTGAGCATGAATGTGAGTAACGTGGAGTCAGAGTGGGGATTACCGTACTCAGGCTAGGCCTGATGCAGCGGACAGTACAACGACCGATGAAAAAAAAAAGTAAACGTGAATGGGCACAACAGCGTGTTGGCTGCAACGAGCCAGCGCTGAGCTGCGAGAGAATAAGTACCTGTGCGTCATTTTCTGATTCGTCCAGTCCACATGGTGCAGTCCTTATGATATCGGTGGGGTGCGCGTATCGGAAGGACGAAATATTCGACGCACACCGGTGTTTGCTGAGGCTTTACCAAAGTTTGTCCCGCTCATTGCAAATGTTCGGCATGACTTCTAGCTCATCTGCTACAGGCCAATCCATACAATCCACTCCCGCTCGTAGGACTATCAGAAGGGATATGAAAATTCAACCACTGAGCCCGTAGCGTCTGAATTGATCTTCGCATGGATCTGTGGACTCCTCTACCGTGCTGCACTGGATGGCAATGAAGTTGTTCAACTGCTTGGATCTTGAGGTTACATGTAGAGACGATTGATCAGGATCATCGGGGATATGTCAATGACCAAGGAACTTGCTGTCCACGGCAAGGATATGAAGAGAGAACATTGTTCAACACCGGAGCTATCAGCGACAAGTAGTATCCGGTCGCCGTGAACGTAAGTGATGTTTCGTGAATGCATGTATCAGAGCTAATTTTTCTTGTAGGCTAAGCTCCAGAAGAGGCTTGCTGGGGACGCCACTGCTAACCCTCGAGCGCTTTGTGTCGTGCATGGCGATGTATCCTGCCTTTGTAATTCGTTACAGGAACGGTGTATTCTACATTTCCCTGCGGCGTGCAGCGCGTGAGCATCGTCGTGGACTCATATACCAATTTGAATGAGGGCAGGTGGCGCATCTCAGCAGCTAGTTTGCATGTTATTAAAAGTATGAGCATCTTCAAGTTGGCTCTGATTTCCTTTTCAGCTTCCATCGATCGGTCGGGCAGAAGAACTTGAAGACTAAGATCGTTCCGGTTTTACCCCGACGTTTCCTTGCTCGCAAACGTCAGAAATGCTAACCTCTTGCTTTTGTGTCAACGTTTAATAACGTTAACGCTCCCGCTCTGCAGACTCAATCAAAGGAGGCTTGGTTCTACGTCAAGTGTATTATTGGCAACGCTCTCTTGTGCCATCTTACTATATTATTATGATGCGGTGACTTCGATCTTGTTCATTCTTTAGATTCATCGAGTTAATCATACAATCCCAGTCGACAACGTGGCTGCACACGACTGGGCGCGATCTAACTTCGCTATCTGAACGACAATATAAAAGAGGAAATGACGGAGTTGAGGTGGAGCCTGTACGTGGCATCGACGGATTGATTATGCGGAAACAAACCGTTCCTCCATTAATATTGTGGAGAGGTATGTCCATTTCAAATAGCATCTGGGTGTTCATTCAGAAAGTGTTCAATAGCTCATGAATCTCTGCATGACCTCGGTTGTCACTCGCAGTAGTTCCATCCTAGAGGCCCACGTGATGTTTCGAAGCTACGGTTTCCCGAATGCGTGCCAGTCAAGGGGTCCTTGGAACGGTGTTCCCATGGACCGGCGAACATAGATGAAGTGTACTGCCAGCGATTTGCCTTTGTTGTGTGCGTGACCATGCAACCATGACCCGCGTTTTCCCTAAATCAGGTTGACAAGGCCCCAAAAGCGTATAAGGACGTGTTACAGGGTTAATGTTGACTTCTGTTCCTTGGTGCCCTGGATTACGATGCCCAGTCTCACCTTGCCCTACGTGCCGCATTATGTTGCAGCACCTCCTACGAAGGAAAATTGTCTGTACAGAGTCCTCTGCTCACACAGAACACTGACATGTGCATTGACAGTGGAGTATGCTGACCTTGCGATCATCGACATTTCGAAAGCCGCCACTGAAGAAGGTCGTGCAGCGCTCGCAATTGAATTAAGGGAGGCGCTCCTCAACAATGGGTTCTTCTATGTCGTGAACCATGGGTATTCGAAAGCCCAAGTGAGCCAATTCTCTCATACCATGCAGATTTTTCAATCATACCTCGACCCAGACAGCTCGCATGTTTGACATTGCGGATGTACCCTTCTCGGCCGTCACTGATGAGGAGAAGCAAACTTATGTTTCAACACGGAGAGAAACTGGGTCAGTCCAAGGATATACATTACTGCAGTACACGGTACGTAGTAGTTGTGCGTTTTATTCACGCAAATCAATTGAATTCAGGATACCGACGGTAGAGTGCGCGACCAGCTTGAACAATACTCCAGTGAGCAGAATACTTTCATTTCGTTGACTCGTCCCACACCATTATAGCCAATCGCGATGTGACCGAGCGAAGACACCCAGAAGCCCTCCGTCCTCTTCTCCCAGAGATCCAAGAGTTTAACAAACACAATCACTTCAACGTGTTGCATCCTATCCTGAGGTAAACGCTTATCGGTGTGCTCGGGATGTTTCTCTGATAGCATATTGTTTTCTCAGGGTTATTGCACGCAGCCTCGAGCTGCCGGAAGATACGCTAGTGAACAACCATGACTATGACGCCGTCGGCGAGACAGCTGGTACATACGTTTCAAGCAGCTCATGCCGTCGCTGACTTGTCGATCAGTCAGGTTCATCAAGTAGTGAGTTCTTCCTTGGATTTCTACTCTTCACAAGTTCATGTAGTTTAGCTACCCACGAACAGAGGAAGAAGAAACCGAAACAAAGAACGTTTGGTTGAGGGGACACACAGGTCAGTGACCTTGATCACGAACAAAACATGCGCTTACAGAGTCACCAAGACTTGGGGAGCATTACGATTCTGTGGAGTCAGCCTGTCGCTGCACTGCAAATTCAGACCAGTGAAGGCGAATGGCGTTGGATCCGTCATCTGGAAAATGCACTTGTAGGTGGTCACGTTCTATCTCTCGACTCATGACATAACGAGAGGCGTTACAGGTCGTCAACGCAGGTGATACAATGGAATTCCTTTCCGGCGGGTACTACAAGGGCACGATCCACCGCGTTGTGCAGCCCCCAGTGGACCAGCGGAACTATACTCGCCTTGGAGTATTCTACTTTTCCATGCCTAACGACGATGTCAAGTTGGTGCCGATGGTTGAAAGCCCAGTCTTGAAGAGGGTGGGAATTCAGAGACGTTGCGACGATAGCGAGGCACCAACTATGGAACAATGGAGGAAAGCGAGGTCAAGGGCTTATGACTATTCAAAATTGAAGGGCGGAAATGGGAAGGACATAGAAGAAGAGATCATCGATGGGGTGGTAGTTAAGCATTACAACTGAAGCTTCGAGTTGTACTTCCAGTCTCACCATCCTTGGGCGACGAACATCTCCGCGAGAATATATAAGGTTCAGTGCGAGAGGGCTAGCGAGCGTTAACACAAGGACGTCATCAAAGCCGCTGCGGAAGCGCGGTTCAATGCCAATAGCATATGTCTATCTTGAGGTGTAGAAGAATGGGTGGAAGGTGCGAGTCGACTCGTACTCAAGCAGGCCTCGGTGATGCTGCAAACACCTAAATTCGAATACAGAGTAGACAACAACACGAGCGAGAATGCGACAAGATACCACAAGAGTGACATGGTAACCTACAAAACCTGAAGCAGCGAACGGAAGAGAATGGAATATCAACGACTTGGAGATCTGTACGAGATGAAAGCAATACGA